AATTATAATTCTGGGATGTTTAACGACACCATTACGCAATTCTCACTGTTGCAAATGGAGAGTGAAATGGAGAGCATGTCCATTACTGGTGACCTGCTTGGAATTACGGTGGTGTAGCCTGGTGGGAAGACCCAGCCAGTGGAACTGCCTCTGCCACTCCTTCCGGAAGCTTCCAACTCACAAACCCAGAGCCCAAAGGAACCACATAGGATGGTCTGAAATGGAAACTTATTAACTAAAGGCAGCTAGTCATGTCTCAGGCCAGCATTTTTTCCTGACAAGGGCAACTCTTTACCTTAATGGATCCTGTCATCTTTTTGCATCTCTGATGACACACCTTTGGAAAGTCAAGGTAACTTCCCTTTTTCCAAACCCCTTGGGGGTCCTCTCATCATGAGCCCGGTAACCTTAATGATTCATAAACCAGCTGCTTAATTATCGAGACATGAAAAGTCTAGAAAGATTGCCCAACCTTCCAGCAAACGTTAGTCTGAGAACATGGATTTTCTTAGTACCCTTTTGCTTCTTTTTCCCTGATATCCTACCACCAGTCCTGTGGAATGTGCCAGACCTGCCTTCTATACAGCATGTGTTGGCCTTGACCAGGTGGCTTAGTTGGTTAGAGCATCGTCCCAATGCACCGGGATTGGAGGTTCAATCCCCAGTCAGGGCACATGCAGGAAGCAACCAGTGAATGCATGAATACGTGGAACAACAAATTGATATATATGTCTCTCCCCTTTCCTTTCTCTCTAAAAATCAATGAATAAAAAATACAGCACATGTTTGTTTCAGGGATGAGTGTGCAGGTGACATACTCCCTCAGAGGGCACAGGAGATAGAGGCACCTGTGACCTAACAGCAGCACCTGGTGTGGGTTCCACAGTGGCTCACACACAGAGCGGGGTGGCAAGGGCGGACTGTAGAGTTGGACAGACCTGCTGTGCACCCGTCTCCTGGCCCTTTGTCTCCAAAGCTGGGATGGTAACACACCCACCCCAGGGGCCACCTGGAGAGCCTCCACGAACCCGGTCCCTGTGCACGTCTCTATTCCAGGCGTCTATTCTGTCCCTGTTCCTGCCTCAGGGTGACAAGCAGCCCTCCAGGGCTGTGATGGGGGGACACAGTCTGCGGCACAGAAAGGCCTGGCCCAGGAGCCCTTACCTGGTGTGTTCAGCCTGTGGCTGACCAGATTCAAACAGGTGAGCAGCGAGATGTTGGACCAGGTTGCTCAGTTAACTTTTCTACAACTGACAAGATCAGAAAGGTGGGACCTGAAGCTATCTGGGGGGGGAGGGGACACCTGTGAGTGAGGAGGACAAAGTCAGAGGACACTGAGTCAGAACCACAGCCGTGTGCTGTGGGCTTCCCAGCACACGTGAGCGCTGCCTCTTGAGCACAAAACCAGCAGGGGCAGAGCCAGGAGCAGGTCACCCCAGACAGCAGCCTGGGGACTGTGACACTGGGACGAGGCAGGGTGCCGAAGCAGCACTGCCGGAGAGGCTGCCTGGAAGTAATCAGACATGGCCAGTGTTGTGTGGTGTTCCCTGTGATTAGGTTCAGCTGCACAAACAGAAACCCAAAATAACAGTGGCTAAAACAAGACCAGAGTGTACTTTTTGTCCAGCAGAGGAAGTGTGGAGGCCGGCATTCCCAGCTCAGAAGAAATTCGAAGTGGGGTCACTGGCAGCCGGGGATGCTTCTGTCTAGCTGCCCATGGCTTCTGTTCTGCCTCCCACAGCGGCTGCCAGAGCTCGGCCTTCACATCCGGCCACTCCCCAGTTTACAAGGAGGTTTCCAGAAGCCCCCAGACACCATTCCTGCTCGGTATCATCATCCCCAGCTCAATTGCCCACCATACCCACTGCAAGGGAGTCTGGTCACTTGAGTATCGCTAATTCAAGTGACCGTGTCCACCTAAAAGGGCAACTGAGTGCTGCTGGCCAAGCAGAATGTGACTGTGGGCCACAGAGAAAGGCCCCACCCACCTCCACCAACCCACAGGCCTAGGAGGGAGATTTGTGCTGGTCATGGCAGCCACGGTTCAGGGTGATTTTCTCAGTGATGTTACTGTGTGTGGAGCTCACTAACAAAAAACCCTCTGGCCCGGGTTCAGTGGGAGGCTGATAACCCCTTCCCCCGCCACCCTGGCCCCCAACCATTCATCCCAGGAGCCTCATTTTGAATGGAGCCACCTCAGACCAACGCTGCTGCTTGCTGAGCCAAGAGGGTCCCTCCCTTAGCCGCTGCTGTGTCCCTGTCAGGTCACCCAACACGTGCTTCCCTGGCCAGCAGTGTGGAGCCTATGACAAGCCATCCTCACACTCTGGGTGCGTGGTCCCCAAGGCCACCAGGAGACACTGTTAGACACCTGTTTCCTCTGGGTTGTCCTGGCTCTGTGCTCCTAGAGAGCTTGACCCCCCTGGGCACCTGAGCCTTCGGGAAGCCGGAATGTCCCTACCTGCCCACCAGCTCCAGGCACCGGATCCTCTGCAAACGTCAGCCGCCAACATCAGCCACAAACACAGGTGTTCCCAGTGTAGCGGTGGGTGAAATGCCGACTCCTGGGAGACGCTGCCCTGAGCAAACTCACCCGGTGCCAGTCCCGCCCCTGTCAGAACCCCCAACTCTCCGACTGCTGGGGACTCGGTCTGTGTGACACCCTGCCAAAGCTGGCTTGGGAGACAGCCCCTCCTGGGGTCCTGGGGTCCAGGCCAGAGACCAGGGCGGAGAGCAGCTCGTCTTTCCTGGCTGGCATGTTCTTCCTGGTGAGCAGGTAGCCCGAAAGTGAGGGGACTGGTCTCCCCCAGCTCCTCAGGGAAGCGGCGTCTGTCTGGGGCACGAGGGAGGCTGTCCCAGCATCCGATGAAACTCCAGAAGGCGCTGTCAGCCAGGGTCCAGTGCCGACAGCCCCTCACAAGCTAACTGCATGGCTCAGAGTCCCCTCCCCGCCTCTGACCAGAGGAGGATGGCAGTTTCCTGTGAGAACATGTGCTGGTTACCCCCATGCTTTTCAGCAAACATTAAACTGAGAACTGAGGACTCTGTTTACTGATAAAGCACAATTGGTTCCCCCTGGTGACTTTGAGACCCAGGCCCCCAGGTATTCACCATGAGTCAAGAGCAACTCTAAAGGAAAGGTGTACATTTGCCAAGAAACTCTCAGGTCTCCATTCCCGAAGTGACAGCTCAGAGCGCGGGGGGGGGCAGGGTCCTGGCACACGGACCCCGACTTTATAGCAGGTGGCCGTCCGAACAAGAACGCTGGGCCAGCAACTATGAAGTTCATTTCCTGGGCCCTGGGAGGTGTGTCTTCCCTCCCAGCCCAGATGGACGCTTATGAAACCTGGCACTGGGGTGGCCCCAAGAGGCCCGCAGGGCAGCCAGGCAAGGGGCTCTGTCTGGGCCAAGAGCGGCTGCCGGCCGGGCACCCACGGAACCGGCGTAGTCACGGGGCTGGCGGCCCACATACTCACATCCCTCCTGGCCTTTCTTCAAGGTAAAGGTCAGCTTCTGTGGTGGCCAACAGTAGCTGCCAGAAACGCCCTTGAAAACTCTCCATCAGGAAGCATTCAGACACTTCAAATATATACTTTATATCAAGTTTAATGGACACGTTGTTGCCTTTGATAACTATCATCTTCCAGTAGACAAGGCCCGGGGACTTTTTAGTTTTACTTCACAGAATAAAGGTTGCACAGGGCACCCTTCCCCGGCAGTGGCCCGCAGCCATCTCCCCCGTGGGTTCGGGGGGGTGGGGGGCAGCCCGAGGGGCTGCTCCTGCTCTGGCTGTGGCACTGCCAGCTCAGATCTCCGTGTCCTAGGCCAGGCCTGTGCTGCACAGATCTGTGGGTAGGACATAGGACACGTTCGCCAGGGGCTGGGAGGACGCAGAGGGAGCTGGACAGGAGCACCCTTGTTCTTGGAGATGTGGACTGTGACCCTCACGGGCCCGGACTGGAGTTCTCCCCGAGTGCAGAGCAGCCACGGCTTCTATTGCAGCCTCAGGGGAGCCCACTGGGGCGGGGGGGCTGCCTCTTCTTCCCTGGGGCTCTGGGGTGACCTGCTGGGCCTGGTCTGCTCCGCACATCTCATTCCTCAGGGCCCACGCTGGTGGCAGCAGCTCCACAGGAGAAACCTGACCCTCAAGCAGGCGCATGGCCGACACTGCACCCACCAGCATCCCGTCGGGAGAGGCCCTTCCCGTGGTTGCCGGGGGCAGCAGTGGATGCGTGGGGAGTAGCCCCTGAATGTCCCGGTCCCTGCAGGCTGCACCACATGCCACGTCTGCTGTGGCCCGCAAGCGCAAAGCACCAGGGTGCTCAGGAATGGCAGCCCCCTGTGAGACCTGTTCCCAGGTCTGCGTCTCCAAGATTAAGGCAAAACTCCTTAAGGCAACACACAGCCCCTGGAGAACTGCACTTCCTCTCCCCAGGTTCCTGAACAGCCATCTGGGGCCCTGACACGCAGGCCGGGTTCAGAGCTGGTGCACGGCACATGGCGGGCTGTGCAGACAGGCCGGGTCCTCCCGTCTCCCCCCCGGTAATGTTCTCCCGACTCACCCACCGGCAAGGTGAAAGCAGCAGGTGGTGAGGGAGTGGAGAGAGCCCTGTGCTGAGCCCCAGCCAGCAGCAGGGGAGGGTGCTGAGTTCCCGATGCCGGGGTGGGGACTGGATGCACTCGGAGGGGTTGGTCTGCGAGACCCTTGTCCTGACGCTTCGCCCCTGCCTGACTCCACTCAGAAAGAGGTGGGAAAAGGGGGCATGAACGGGGGGGGGGTCGTCAAGGTATCTTCCCACTGGGCACCTGCCCGGGGTCAGAGGCTGCTAGGCTCACGGGCAGGAACCGAAGCCCGGGTGAGAAGGACCACACTGGGGCTTTGAGTGACAGGTCTTTGCTGCAATGGCCAGACCCGACCATCCACCAGAATTCTGACCTGGGAGTTGTGGTCTTGAGGGAAAGGAGGGGGGAGGGGCTCCCATCCCCTTCCTGGAGCCCCTTCCTGGAGCCCCTTCCTGGAGCTTAGAAAGGAGCCACTGGGTCAGGGCATGTGAAAAGAAGGGCGTCTCAGGTAACGCCCCCATGTCCGTAAACCTCTCACTCCCCGAGACGTGGCCACCTGTCCCGGTCTGTGCCAGGCAAGGGTGCAGGAGAGGGAGAGCACCCAGGGGACGGGGCTCCAGGAGGCCAGGGGGCGGAGGGGGTTGCCTTTCCATGGGATGGGTGGGAGGGGCACGCTTCACTCTCTCTGGTGAATCCCAAGCTGAAGTCATGGGGCCAACAACTCAGGAGACCCTTGCAGCCATGGACCAAGTCCCGACTGTGCTGGCCGGAGGCAGCCGAGGCCGTGGGTGGGGCTCCTGGCCCCACGCGGTCTGGCAGCCACAGACTCTCCTCTTTGTAATGGTGAGCTCCGCCGCCTCGCAGATCAGAGTCTGCCAAAGGGCTGGGTGTCCCCAGGCACAGGCCCAGGGTCTCTCCTGGCTCTTAGACCGACCGGGCCCAAGATTGGGCGGGAAGAAAGGCCTGGGGGAATGCGGCCCCCCACCCCTCACCACTCCCACAGCGGCTCTGTCTTTATGTTTTATTCACTTTTATGTCCGGGTCCTTGCATTTAAAGGAAGAGAGAGTAAAAGGCATCATTCCTAAAACAGTTCGATGCTGCAAAAAAGGGGAGGAGCATTTCAGGGGGCGAATGGGCTTCAGCTGCCCCGCCTCCGGGAAGGCCCTGCCTGTGAGCTCCACACACGGACACTTTGTGAGAAACACACAGAACGTGGCCACTGAGTCACCCGGCCTCTGTGCTGACGCCCAGGGAGCAGGGGGGTTTCTGTCCTGCGGTCCCAGCAGGGTCCCAGGCCAGCGCACCGCGTCCCGGAGAGGGCGGAGGCCACCCTGGGCGGGTGGGAATCCCACCGACGTGCCAAGACTCTCTGTGCTGATTCCGGCATCGTGAACAGTGCCTGCATTTCCGGGTCTCCTTGATGCCGGGGCTTCACCCGCCGCCTGCTGCAGGGGCCTCGGAGTGAAGGGAATGACTGCTCTTGGGCCTCCAGGCTGGTTCGGAACCGGCCAGGACAGAGGGAGGAAGGGACCAGGCCCTGGCTTCTCTTGAAGCCCAACTGATGAGAAACTGAACATGTTTCTATGTATACGACTCATTTTCCATCCCCCGCAAACCTCGTTTCTCGGTCATGAGTTTCTCCATCATCATTTAAGGAGAATGTAAACATCACTGGTCTTTTCTTCTTCAATCCTGGTAGACCCTAACAGGAAGCTCCCAGGGGCTGGCGCCCTCCTCACCTCTGAGCCCCACTCACAGCAGAGGCCAGGGCAAAACGGACTCTCCTGGCCGCTCCACCGTGGGCAGCCTCCTGAGGAGGGTCAGGAGGAGGGACTCGGGGGCCTCACTCCCTAAATGACCTCGGGCACGTGCCTGCCTGGCTGCCCTCCGTTTACCCAGTTGTGTGGCAGGCAGACGGGTCTGGGAGCCGCCAGGGGTCCCTCAGCTCCAGGGGAGGGGCATTCACAGCCAGGCGGCCACGTCCTGGCCGGTTTCCCTCCGTCCCTGCAGTTTTCTGACAAAGGGGGGCATGTTCGTGCCTGAAATGTTCTCACCTCTCGCTATTTTTGCAAAAGGCCTGAACACCGTTGTTAAAAATAGAAATAATGAGGGAAAGAAGAAGCTTCTGACCTTGAGTCCCGGGGACGGCGCGGGCCTCCCAGCGTCCTCTCTGGCTCCTGGTGATAAATGATCATCCCGCTGCCTTTGTCCTTAGCGGGTTTACCCTTGGCCTACAGAGGAAGTTTCTGCCTTTTTTTTTCCCCAGCTGGGACAGTGTTTCGACCTGATAGGTCCGCACGGTGTTTGCCGGGCGTTCCTCACCGGCTGTGCGGGGTGGGGGTGGGGAGCCAGCCCTGGGTGCTCGGCCAGCACTGCCCGTGTCCAGGTGCAACACCCCCACACACACCAGCTCCCCTGCGCTGCACCCATCCCCCTGCAGGTGGGAGCCATGTGCCGGGCCAGGGTCCAGGCCCACCGCCAGGGTGGGGTTCCCCGGGAGGGACAGTGCCACAGAACCTACTGGGTTTCGTCCAATCACCGTGAAGCAGGGCTGCACACTGGGCGCCACGTTTTGCAGAAGAGAAGTGGAAGCAGTTTCAGCGGCACCAAGAGAGGACAACAGCGCCCCACATCCGAACCCCCTGGTGACTGTCATGAGGGAATTTACGACAGAGATTGAGGGTTGGGGTGAGGGGTCACGGGCGGAGCTGACTGCTTAGGTCTGCAAATGCCAGTGGTTTTCCTGGTCTGGTTACTTTGGGCCCTGACGTCCGGTGTCTTCATCTCTGTGGTCGGGTGACCAGGATTCTGCTGAGCGTCTCCCACTGTGCACCAGGGATGCTGTCTTCAAAGCCAAAAGCAGAAACTCAATGTCTTGTGACCATTTCATTGCTTAAGCTATCATTGCTTTATGCTTAACTAGCTACATTTTTCCATCTTCTCAAGCAAAGGGTATTGTTAAACATTTCCCTGGAACCCGAATCTCTGACTATAAGCTGCATGACAACCAAGGTGCGTGGAAGCACTTCATTAACTCGGACATATCTCCCGGCTCCGGGGCCTGGTGGCCACTTTCGGAGGGACCGCCCTCGGGCCTGCTGGGCCGGCCCACCTGCCAACGAGGGCGTTTCGGAGAACCCAGCAGAAACCGCGCAGGTGGCCTGGGAGGCTGTTGGCCCTGCAGAGGGAGAAGCAGCAAACAAGCCCCATGGAGGACGGCAGGCGGTCGGCATGGGCTTCTGTCCCCGAAGAGGACGAGACTCCAAAAGGGACGATGGGACGGAGGAGCAGGCTGCCTGTGGGGGCCTGCACTGTCCTCCTGGCTCCACGGAGAAAGTAAAGGCCACCCTGGGTGGCACCAGAGTGGACCAGGGTCCGATCCTGTCTGGGGGGCAGCCTGGACCCGGCTCTGCTCAGAGGGCAGGGAGAGATGCCACCTGGCCGTGGGTGGGGAGGGCATCCAGCGGGCTCGGGTGGGGTGTCTGTGGGGGATGCGCTATGCGGAGCTCGAGACTCAGGTAGTAACAGTGTTCGGAGAGGGAGGGAGGCAGCGGGCCTCCAGGTGGGCGCTCGGGTGTCTCCGCCTGGAGGCCTCTGGCGGGAACGGCACCCCCTACCCCCACCATCTGTCCCAACCCCTGCTCCCCTTCAGTCCCTCTGCCCCCAGCTTCTGGGTCCTTCTCTGCTGGCCCCACCCACCCGCACCCTGACGACTGCAGGGGCCAAGGGAGCTGGGCCGCCTCTGGCGGGACCAACGCTTCTTTAAGCTGTGAGAGCCGATGAGGAGCCAGGGCTGGTGTCAAGGGTAGTTGAGCCCTGGCCTCTTTTGGCCAAATGTGGTGATTCCCTTGGACTGAGAACTCCATCCACCTTTTCACCTCCATTCCCGTCTCCGCCCTGGTGAAGCTGGGAGCCGATCCAGGCACAGCGCTGTCCTGCAAGACAGAGCAGGAGACCAAGGGGCTCGGCCTGCCCCACTCCCTGTGGCCTGCCTAGGGGCTCAGGAAGACAGGGGGATGAGTCTGCCCATCTGGCAGACAGAATGGGTTTGGATGAGAACCATTGCGCAGACGCCTGATGAGGGGGCCTGGAGCCTGGCGCCCTCCTGCTCCCGTGGGGCCCTGGCAGCTGTCCGGGCTGCAGTGAGCAAGGAACCCGCCTCCTTAAGCCCCATGCTGGGATCCGCTCTGGGCTGGACCCACCAGCTTTACCCACGGGCCCTGCTCTGCGGCCCGCAGCTGCAGGGCCCGCCAGCCCCATCGCCATAAAGGATAATGCAGAGGTGTGATAAAAGCCATCTGTCACCCATAAAACACGTCACTTTTGGCAAAGCCATAAGCTGCAAGCTCTCCTGGGGCTCAGCCAAGAAGTGGCCTTTGGAAGTCTGGATAGTGACCCCAGAGCTCACTTTCCAACATGAGTTGCACCTCAGGCAGCCGTCTGCAGGGCCATCTCTGCACAGCCACTGTCCACCCACACGGTCACCGTGCCGCCCTTGGGCTGCCTTTTCGGCAGCTCCTGCCCTAGAAGCACCAACATGCCAAGAATGTGCCCGGCAGCCATGGGGGCCCAGGACCTGTCCTGTGGGTGACTCCTGGTGGTGCCCGGCTCATGCACTGAGTCACTGGAGGCGTGTGCACACCCCGAGTGACCCCAGGTGGCCAGGGAGGGGAGCTCGGCCCTATCCTGTGTCTGTTCGTTTCTCAGGGAGCATCGGGAACAAGGGCCAACACCTTCCCCGCGAGGGTGGTGGGGACCCTCTGGACACAACCCCCAGAGCCCAGTCTGGAGCCTGCAGGGGCCAGGCCTGCCAGACAGGAGCCCAGGCAGACTGAGCAGGGCTCACCGGCGGCCTGGGGCCCCCCCCACTGTACAGTGCGTCAGCATCAGGTTTTTGCTCCAGACCCAGGGATTTGAGGGGTCTGAATAAGGTGTTCTGCTGTCATTTATTCTCACCTGCACTTTGCACTGGCCTCTAAGTATCACAGCTTATTTGCCTATTGTTCACATTGTCACTCTAATCGCAGACTATAGATTTCACAGTCATGCAGAAAATGTTTGGTAAAATGTTTGACTCCATTTTACAAAATGCCACCTTCTAAAATGACTCCCCTCCACCCAGGACAGGCCGCTGTCCCTGAGAGCTGCCTGTCCGAGTGGCTGCTCCCCACCACACCTGGTTTGCTCGACTTAGCAGGAGTGTGTGGAATTTCACAGAGCAGTTCTCAACACTACTGACAAACGATTCTCTCCCAGGAAGGAGAGACAGTGAAGCAACCTGTGCTCCCAGGTGACAGGGTCCCCCAGGAGCGTGCAAAGCGTCTCCTCCTCGGTTGTCCGAGGAGGCCGTCCAAAAAAAATGTAGCCCAACTTCCACTTTCAGGGATCAATATGTGACCCTTTTCAATTTCTCCTGAGAAGACTGGCCCGTGTTCTAGCAGTTCTTCAGTCAATTTTGGTCATTCTAATGTTTCTTTAAAGTCAAATGTGAGGGCACCATCTTTTCTGGGACTTGAACCCCCCCAACTTGAGGCGTGTGGTCCCGCTCGTACACTTACTTCATCTCCCCTCCTCCGTCAGGCCTCCACGCTGCCTCCTGTGCTGGTCTTTTCTGGGAAGCGTCCTGGCTCCATCAGTTCGGCCACGTTCTGTTTCCGGCTGCCTGTGTTTTCGGTCTGTTCTGCACGAACCCACGTCTTCTTTACCTGGGCTGCCTGCTCTTTTCCCAGTTCCTCCAGCCGACAGCCGAGGTCTCCCGCTGTCAGTCACGGTCCTCCCGTGATGAAGGCTGGCGGTCACTCCACGTGTCCCCCAGCACATCCTCGGCGGGTGGCGTTTCCCAGGTTCTGACGGGCGCTGTTACTGTCTGTGCTCATTTTTCAGTCATCCATGGTTTCCTTCAAAACTCACAAATTGTATATGAGTGTTTTTATTTGTGGTGTTAATTCCTGGAGAGAACTATTTTAAAGGCTTAGCTTGTATTTTGTTAAACTGCATTACGTCCAGTGAGCAGACTGTAGATTTCATATACTGTGTGTCTGCATTGGTGTCTATGTGTATGGACGCCCTCAGTGAGCAGGCTAATACTGCCTTCGGAATTCTTTTTGTTTTGTTTTATTTTACGTATTTACTTTTGTGGGGGGGGAGAAAGACAGGGAGAGAAACATTAATGTGTGGTTGCCTCTCACACGCCCCCTCCTGGGTACCTGGCCTGCAACCTGGGCCTGTGCCCTGACTGGGAATCAAACCAGTGACTCTTGGGTTTGCAGGCCAGTGCTCAGTCCGCTGAGCCACACCAGCCATGGTCTGACTTTAGAATTCTTGACATTTTCCTAATGGTCAACAGACAGTCTTTGTGGTTAGAAAAGAATGTAAATTATGCATTCGAATAATACAAGGTATAGAAAATAATGTCAAGCTTTTTCATTGTTTTATTCGTCTGTTTTGGGCTTTCTTGATCTGTCACTTTGAATTAGAATGAAGAGTTTCCCTTCTCCAAAGATGCCCAGGCTGTGGCTGTGCGGCAGGAAAAGGAACGGGACAGAGGACCAGCAAGGGGACGCGCACCTGCTCGGGGGTCCGTGCTGGCGGCTCAGGGAGGAGGCTGCCCTCATCCACTGGACAGGCCCCCTCTGTCCACAGTCCCTGCAGGCCCCCAACCCTAGCACAGAGAAGGCCGGTCTCATGAACCCTTCCCAGAGGTAAGTAACTCTGCATTCCCATCAGCCCCATGCCAGCCGAGTCCCAGGCAGGTGGGGGTCAGGCCTCTTGCCACGTCCTTGGTGCCACCAGACAAAGGTCAAACCACACACCTGCAGCGCCTGGGCCCCCAGTGGGTGCTCAGTGAAGACCCCTCCCTGCTGCCTGGGACACAAGCCCTCCCCAGAACAGCCTGTGGCCACCAGCCCCAGGAGTGACCGTGGTGGGTCAGGAAAGCAACGCAAACCTGGGCAGCTGTGGCACCAGGACCCGAGCTGGTGGGCGGGTGCCCGAGGCCCCCTCCCCTATGCCTGGCCTCGGGGTGTAGGCAGGGCTGTTCCAGGGGAAGGAGGCCGGCCAGTTCAGGGGCCCATCCCGCTGGGGAGTCTCCGCCCCCGTCCCCAACTCACCTCCCACCTCAAGGCCCTCATGCCCCTCTGAGACCCCCAGGGTCTCGGCACTTTCGGGTCCCCCGCTCAGGACACTGTCCCACAGACCTGCGGGCTCCCATTCCCTCCTGTACAAGCTTCTGTTCAAATGTCGCTTTCTCAGGGGCCTTCCCCTCCCAGGGGCACATTCTTCTGTGGGATTCCTGTCACCACCTGACATGTCACATACTGGCTTTGGAATGCCAGTTTTGGGAGGACAAAGTCCCCAGAATCATTCTCCAGTCTCCAGTGAGGTCACACGTTAACCCCCTGGCCCCCTGGCCCCCTTCCCAGAGCCCCCACCCGCCAGGCTGTGAGGCAGGGGCCTGCGGGGTTCCCAGCCCTTGTGTGTGTGCGCGAGTGTCCGCTTTTTGTGGTTCCCCAGATGGACCAGTCGAACCAAATCCAGTTACTCCTCGGAGCCCAGTCTGAAGAAACCAGGCAAAAAGTCCATCTGAGGGCTGTTCACAGCCTGCCCTCCTGGGGGCGTGCTGTTCTCAGAGGCATGTTCCACGTGTGTCACCTTAGCCTGTTGACACATGACCACAGGTCGAATGCTCTGAGGATCCTGCATGAAGGGAGCATTAGCCCAAGGGCAGGAGAGGCAATTCAGGTCGCAGGGGGTGCCGGGAAAATGGGGGGGAGGGGGGTACAGGAGAAAGTAAGCTGGTTACTGGGATGACAGTTGAGATGCACCAGGCACTAGATGGCGGAGCCGTGCAGTGGTGACGGGAGGGTCCAAACGACAGCTCAGCTGGACGGGGGCTGGGGGCGCAAAGCGCTGGAAATGCCCAGCGAGCCTCAGCTCGTCCACAGTCTTCGGGACCAGCCCACCCCACCCACTCCCTGAGGACACTGACCAGGGAAAGGGGGGGCGGCAGCTACAGGACACACCCTCATCCCCACCACCAGCTAACGGGGCCCTGGAGGGGCTGGGGGGTCACCAGGAGGCTCATCCTGCCCCCCCCACCCCAGGTGCAGCCAGGAGGGGCCTGACGGTGGACCTGTGCCTCAGCTGCCACCCTGTTTCCACGGTCTCTCTGAGTGACCGGTGCGAAGTGGCCTCTCCTGTACACGGACGGTGCTGTCAGTGGGCAGGGCTGGAGGGAAGGACAGAGGGGGAGGGAGGGAGCTCCAACGTCAGGGACAAAACTGCCCCACTGGCCACACCCACTCAGATGCACCGTGGCCCTCTTCCTCCCACTGCCCCCGGCCTCCAGTGCCTCCAGCCCCAGGGGGCCTGAGTCCAGCCCTTCCATCCACTTCCAACCAGGTGAGCGGAGACGCCCCTCCTCTCCAGGCCGACCAGAGAAAATGGGCCCTGACCCACCTGAGAGGGAGCTGAGGGCCTGCAGGGCGGTGGGTGCCCAGTGCTCGGGAAAGCGCAGGGCTCCCCCCTCGGGGCTTCCCCACCAGAGACTGCCCTCTCGGTGGGCTGAGAGGCTGTGTTTGGGGCGGTTCTACTTGCAGGGCCTCTGGGCCGGGGTAGAGGCTAGCCAGGCTCCCTTACCTTCCTCACGCTGGCCCTGGGCTGAGTGCACGTTCACAGCCCCTGCTGGGGCTGCCAGTCTCCAGGCTGTGCGGGCCCAGCAGAGGCCAGGACGGGGAAGTAACGCGCCCCTGGGGGTGGGTGGCTGACTCTGGGCTTCTGGGAGAAAGTGACACACACACACAGTCTCACCACGTGCCGGCCCCTCTCCCTGCCCAGCGAGTCCTAGCTCCGGGCGCCGGCCTGGCCAGAGTTAGGCCGCCGGTGGGGTCCCCTTGGGTAGGGTGGGGCCCGGCCGGCTGCTGGAGCCTGGCCGCCGTTCTAGGGCCCGCTCTGGATGTGGATCAAATACCGCGCTCCTGGCTCCTCTCGTAGTGTCTCTCCGATGGTGGCCCCTCCGTCCCCTCCTCCGCCCCATCTCCCGCGGCGAGGGGGTGGGGCACAAGGTCGCGGTTTGGTCGTGCAGACGCCCAGAGGCTTCGGGGAGATACGTGGCCTGGGCTTCTGGTCCTCGGCTCGGCGGGACCGAGGCCGCAGCAGGCCCCGGGCGGGCGGGCAGAAGCCCTGGGCGCGGCGGCCTGGCCGGAGAGCCCACCGGGACAGCGTCCGCGGGGCGGCAATCCTCTGCGGCCGCGGGAGCCCCGAGCGCCGACCCCGCGCGCTCCCGCCGCCCTCTCTCGGGCGTCTCCGGCTCCTCTCGGCAAACCGCGGAAGGAAGGCGCCCTCTCCGTAACGGGCCCGGAGCTGCACAGGCATCGCGGGGCGCGGCCGAGGGGAGGAGGAAGGAGAAAGGGAGCGGAGTCGGCCGGGCCGGCAGTGACTCGCGGGGCTGCGGCTCCGCCAATCTGCGGACGCTGACGCGGGGGGCGGCTCCGCCGCGCTCGGATATCTGCCCGCCGGGGCGCGGGTCGCCGAGAGGCTTGTCCGGGAGGGCGCAGCGCTCTGGGGACGCCGCTGCACCTGCTGTGGATCTCGCCCGCCGCTCCGTGCGCCCCCACCCCCCGCCCCCGCCTCCCCCTCCGTGCCCACGATCCTGAGCCCTCGTTCCCCTCTAGGTCCCCGCCTCCCGGCCGCAGCGCGAGAGAGCCGAGCCCTGCCCGAAGGAGCCGCCCCTTCTCCGTCTGGCCAGCCTGGCGTCTAGCGAGGCCCACCGAGCCCCGGATCCTATTGCGCCGCACGGTCGCCACCACCTCCAGGCCGCCGCGCCCCGGCCGGCATGAGCCGCCGCGCCGGGTCCCTGCGCGCCTGATGAGCGCGGCCGGAGACCGGAGCCGGCCACTTCGCGCGCCGGGCCTCCCCCGACTGCACCCCCAGCTCCCCGGACCAAGGCCATTGGGCCCCGCCGCTGAGGGCGCGGCCGCTCCGGACAGTCGAGAGAGAAGGGCCCGGAGATGGCCCGGCGAGCGTGCGGTTTGGCGGCGGGCTCCTTACACGTGGTGCGGGCTCGGGGACAGCCCCCGAGCTGGTAGCGGTCTGAAGCCAGATGGACCTTGACCAGAGCCGCGGCGCCGATTTCGTGCCTGGCCAATACTAGAGGGGCTCGGGCGGGCCCGCTGGCGGAGAGCGCCGGCCGTGAAGATGATCCTGGTACGCAGGTTCCGAGCGCTCGTCCTGACAGTGTTTCTGGCGGCCTGCGCGCTGCACATCGTGCTGGACCTGCTGCCCAAGCTGGAGCGGCGCGCCGCGCGGCCATCGGGGGAGCCCGGCTGCTCCTGCGCGCAGCCTGTGGCCGAGGCGGCGGCCCCCGGCTGGGCCAAGGCCAGGGGCCGGCCCGGGGAGCCTCCAGCCCCCGCCTCGGCCGCCGGGGACTCGGGCTGGCCCAACAAACACACGCTGCGCATCCTGCAGGACTTTAGCTCCGACCCTTCCTCCAACCTCACGTCCCACTCCCTGGAGAAACTGCCACCCGCAGCCGAGCCTGCGGAGGGCGGGTTACGGCGGCAGGATCCCGGTGCCCTCAGGCCTCGCGACCCCGCGCACCGGCCGCTGCTCCGAGACCTCGGTGCCCGCCGGTCCGCGCCGCCCCCTGGCCCGAGCGGGGACGGCTCCCTCCTGGCCAGGCTGTTTGAACACCCGCTGTACCAGGTCGCCGTCCCGCCGCTAACGGAGGACGACGTTCTTTTCAACGTGAACAGCGACATCAGGTTCAACCCCAAGGCGGCGGCAGAGAACCCCAACTGGTGAGTGGGATCCAGGGCCACTTGGAGTGGGTGCTGGCAGGTCCGACGCCTGAGACGACCACACGTCCTTTGACAGTAAAGACCCACCTGTGTCGTTTGCCCGGAAATGGCCGTTCTGCGACCCGGGCATTGTGTGCAGACAGCCAGCAGGCCCCAGGGAAGGGGAGCTTTGTGCGCCCTCCGCCCTCAGGCTGCCACTTGCTCAGGGCACTGTCTTTGTCTGCAGAGGACTGTGCTTCCCCAGGAAGGGCTGAGCCCTGGGTGCTGGCCAGGAGGGCAGACTGGGCGCTGGGCAAGCGGAGCCGGGGTGGCCAGTGCCTTCGAGGCCCTGGGCGCTGGCTTGGGAAGGGGAGTCAGGCAGTGAATGAATGAGCTGGCGAGGGAGCGAGGGCGTGCCCACCGCCAGCCCTTCCTGGGGAGCTGCTGGCTGCCAGGTTTTCAGATACTTGTCGGACACGCCAGGATGGTCTGGAGAGGCCTAGGGGGCTGTGTGAGCCGGGCATGGAGAACACGGTCCACCAAGGCTGTGCAGGCTCAGAAGCGGCCTCACCAGGGCGCCCCCAGCCACGGTGCCTGCTGTGCCAGCTGCTCGGGGTGGCAGCTCTGGAGAGGCAGGAAGCACCCTCCAGAAACATCTCTTTAAGCTGCTCAGGTCTGAGCCCTTCCCCCCAGGCCCTCCTCAGCCACAAAGACCAGAATGAGCAGGTGCTGGAGCCGTGAAACATTAACCAGCAGCAAGGCTGGAATAAACCCCCCGCAGCGGGCTGCCCAGGCCAGGAGGGGAAGGCCGGGTGTGCGAAACATCTTGCAAGGACCCGTCTCCCCTGACAGTTGACCAGGCCCATAGTTTTGTGTCTGAACACCCCCAGGTACGCGTCTGGGGGCCTCTGGGCTTTGTCTGCTGGCCAGGATCAGGGAGAAGCTTAGAGCTTTGGGATCGGAACAGTGCCCTGGCCTGTGACTTTCAAAGGAGAAATGGCATCTAGGGCCCCCACCATGGCCACTGTGGGAGGGGGCTCAGGACCCAAGGGCCTCATGTGCCAGTGAATTAGAGCAGAGACGAGGCCCCCCCTTTCCCTGCAGCCCAGCAGGGAGCAGGGCTTGCTCGACCCCAGACCAGACCCTCTGTCCAGACGCCCGCCCGTGAGGATGGCCTCGTGTGTGGCAGGCAGATCCTGCCTCCTTTCTCTCTCCCCACCCAGGCCTGCTCTCATTAAAATCAAATTTAGCGTATTGCATCATCCCTGCCCCGGTTGTTGGCACCACAGCAGGGCTCCCAGGGAGCGACTCTGACAACTGGGCGTGTCAGTGACTCGCAGTCAGGCTGCGGTCAGAGGTGAGCCGGTCCTCCCACCCCAGGAGGCGCCGAGGCCCCTGGTCCCCCAAGCTGACATCATGTTTGTTGGGCTGTTTTGGTGACCCCGGGACAGACCTGATGGGGCCCAGCGCTGACGCCCTGGACTTGCTCCTGCTGTAGTTATAGCTGTCTGTGGCGGCTCTGAGGGTAAGTAGGGGTTACGAGCCTTGAGATGTGTTATTACTCGGCACAACAGCAGCCACAGAAAAGCAGGGACGCGGCAGGCTCCTGCCAGCACAGAAGTGCCTTTGAACGAACCCATCCTCTGCACCCCGAGTCCAACCCCCTCTCCTTCTCAGTCCTCTCCCCACTGACACCAGTCACCTTCATCGCCACAGGCCCCAGGAAGGTCCCGAAGATGAGGGATTCTTGCCCACGGGGGAGGCAGTGGTGGACAACTACCCCAACTGGCTCAAGTTCCACATCGGCATCAACCGCTACGAGCTGTACTCCAGACAGAACCCGGCGGTGGACGCCCTGCTGCAGGACCTCGGTGTGCAGAAGATAACGAGCGTCGGTAGGTCTCCACCGGCGGTTCCATGGGCCTGGGAGCCGCAGGGCTCTTGGGAAGGGTCAGGGGACGTCCTGCTGTCCGCACCTGTGCAGAGGGGCCCAGCCGTTCTCGACCTTGGGCCCCTCCTCCAGTGGACAGGGGGTGTCCCTGGGGGCTGCGGCCCCTCCCTCAGCCACACTCTGAGGCTCCCCGCGGCCGGGCCAGCGTCCAACTGCAGCCCAGTGCTCCTGCCGCTTCGTGTGGGCGGGGAGTGGCCAGGGCTTTGCTGTCTGGGGTGGAGACCCATCGCTGAGCACTTTGGGCTCCACGGAGTCAGAGAAAGAAGGGCCCCCAGTCACTATTTCAGGGCAATGTTCTCGGACCTGTAAGCGATTCTTTGAGAAAGTCCCTGTTAGTCACCGGTGGCTCGGAGAAGCTCGGGGCAGGCTGAGCCTTGGCCTAGGAAGCACCACTTCCAGGGGCCTTTCAGGGCATGCCTGTCCGGCGGGGACGCCTGAGAGCAGGTCTCCCTGCTGTGCACGGAGCAGGCAGCTCTGGGCACTGCTGCTTGGTGTGTGGTAAGCGGTTTCTCTTCCAGCCACCTGGGGTTTTGTCCAGCTGCTGACAAAGGGCAGTCAGGTGTCACCTGTACAACAGGCAGGTGAGTTCTCCAGACCCTTTTACAGACTGGTTTTGACATTCTCAGCCTGAGCTCATGGGCTGGGGGAAGACAGGACGACGGTCTCTCTCAGCATGTGTTGTGCACCTCGTGAGGGACAGCTGGCCACACCTCCCCCAGGGCCCAGGACCTCTGCTCTGCTGGGAGGCAGCTCCTGTGAGAGGCGGGGCTGGGAGACACCTGCAGAGGGGTGCCCCTTTTACTCCCAGAGCAGCCGTGGCTGTTAAAGAAAGATGCCGCCCCCTGACCAGCTCCCTCGTCTGTTCTGCCGGCTTTGTGGGCACTGCTTGCCTCTCAGGCCCCTCCGGGGTCAGGGGCAGTGGGGGATGAATCCTGTCACAGAGAGATCCTGCTGCCCCCTGACCTGAGCTCCAGGCGGGCACAGGACACACACGCTGACCAAGAGAAAATGCTCTGGGTGCCATGGGGTACAGCCTGGGAGCGTTCAGAGAGGAGATGGCCAAGGGGGACCTCGTGCGAGGACAGGCACTGGCCAGGCCTGGATGAGGCAGCCTTTCTCCAGCGGTGGGGACGGCAGGACTTCTGGGATTTGAGCCAGCGTCTCAGCGGGTTCAGGGAAGGGCAGTGTCCACCCTGCTCTCGGGGTGCACTTCTCTCCACCTCAGTGTCCCCATCTGCGAGTGGGCTCTTTTCTGCTCAGGGACTCTGCATCTTGTTCTAAGCAGATGGTGAATGCCCGTGAGCTTGTGAAATATTAACTAGTTCTGCAGTCTGGGCTTCCACGGCCCCCCCCCTGGAGGGCAAAGGCACGTCAGGGGCCAGAGCTCTGGGCCCCAGGCAGGGGCGGAGGGCGTTGGGCCTCCGGGGCTCACAGGCAGCTTCGCCCACCCTGGGCATCCTCCTCCCCCTACTCCCACGGGGTCCTGGCCTGGGGGTGCCCCGACCCCGGGGTGCTGTCCCTGCCCGTCTCGGCCCTGTGGGCTGTCTGAGTGGATCTTGCCTTCCTCTCACGTGCACCAACTGAGCGTGCCCGAACCCTGTCTGTTCCTTGGGGCACTGGGCCTTTCAGAGCAGAGGCTGGCCACTCCTCATCACTCTGTGGGGACTGATGAGCGCTGGCGGGGGTCCCCCATGGCCTGGTGCCACCCCCCACCCTGGCAGGACAGTGGGCCTGGGATCCACCAGTCAGCAGCCACCTGGATCAACCTCTCCAGTGCTCACGGGGAGCATCGGGTGGTTACGACCTGGCCCCTGCCATCTCCAGCCTGCAAACCTGAAATCCAAACACCTGATTTGACAGCCAGACCCTGACTCATCCCGAACTCACCGGGGGGCAGACCTGAACTGGCGAGACTGTTCATAAACCCTGCTTTTCATCTGGAGTGAAGCCAGAGTGTGTGGAGCCCGGGGCTCTGCCCGGACCCGTCCAGACGTCACGCCGTCTGCGCTGCGTCTGCATCCCCAGCACTTCGGTCGTCTGAGCCCGTCAGAGCCTCCAGACAGTTCTGCCCCAGAGACGGTGACGCGGGTCCTAGAAACTTGCATCTCGAGGCCATGGAGGGGACCCCAGAGTAAACAGAAAACCGTGAGAGCAGCATGGGCAGGGTCCCCTCGGGCCGGCCAGCGCCAGAAACCGGGCCAGACGCTGTGACTGCCTGGGTCTGCACACGCTCCCGGGTGTGTTCGCATCGGTGCAAAGGCCCCGTGTCCGGGGAAGCAGGAGGCCCTCCCACTCCTGAGCACAGGGGCACGGTGCACAGGTGTGCCAGCCTAGGCTGCCTGCCTGCTGAGAGCAGGAGAGGGGCCGGAGAGGGCCAGGCTGCAGGCAACCCCTGCGAGGGGGCACATCGTCCCCGGTGTGTCTGCCCTTCAGCCGATGCCAGAGACAGACCCTGGCTGGGCCCTCAGCTTAGCAGATTCTGTCAGGCGGCTTTGGAGACCAGGGCCCCTAGGTGGGAGCAGCCTGCTACCAGTGGCCCCGGCCCTGACGTTGTGGGACCAGGTGGGCTGCACCCCTGGGGAAGCCTGGATGGCAGCCCCTTACAGGAGCCCAGAGCCAACCTGAGGATTCGAGAGTTAGTGCCGCAGTTGCCTGAGCGTGAGATTGAAAGACAGGCGTGGAAGTGCCACCAACGCCCAGGGTGGTATCAAAAGTTCTAAATTTAAGGAGCCGGAAATCCAAGCACCTTCCAGGGGCCAGTCTACAAAGAGGAAAACTGAGGCCTCGAGAGCAGAGACTCACCCCCAGTTGGCACGTCTCTGCATAAGGTTCTGGCCTCGGTGTCAGCCAGGCAGGAGCTTCAACCTTTGGGCGCTTCACTGCACATTGACCCTGCCGGGGAGGCTGGCGCAGGAACTCGGGGCCTGCGAGGCCCTGGAGCTCTCTCTCAGGACGGTTCCAGTAGCCGCCCCTGTTCTGAGCCTTCCGCCTGGTCCTGGCCTGTGCGTGGCCGGCAGGGCCGTGTCTGCAGCCAGGCCGACTGCATGGTCTTGCTGCCGCCTTGGAAAAGTCTCGAGGTGTCACCTCTGCTCAGCATGGGTTCAGGCGTGTGATGCCTTCCCCAGCCAGTGCTGTCCTACACAGTCACGGACGCAAAGAGTAAATGACACGTTGAACGACACCGTCCTCAGAATGACTTACAGAGGAAAAGCCGCACCTCAGGGGAGGATTCGGGCAGCCCTGCCTGCAATGCAGCCGGGTCTGGGCAAACCCACAGGGGTCCCTGGACAAAGGGGACAGTCCCGCAGGATGGAAGAGCTGGAGGCCAGGACTCCCTGGTTGGGGAACAGAGGCAGTGTCGGGGGCAGCCCTGGGTGCCTGGAGGGGGCTACATTGTGGTCCTGCCTCTGCTCCAGCACCAGAAATGCCACTGGGCCCCGCCCACCCCAAGTAGCAGAGTGGCAGCTTCGGGTCCCCGGGTCTAGGACCTGGAAAAAGATAACTGAAAAGTTTCTGAGAGCCAGGCCCCAGCACAGGGCTGGAGGGGCTGCGGGTGGTCGCCGAGGGAGGCAGGGAGGGAGGGAGGCTGTGGCCTCTCCTCCCCACCCTTGGGTCCTAGGTCAAGGACAAAAGCCCTGTGGGTGCCGACCCAGGCCACTCACCTGCTGTCTCCATTTGCACAGATGGCAGCTGCGGCCTGGAACCCGACAGGCCACTCGGCGACTGCACACCCGAGGGCAGGAGACTGGGCGTCCACCCACCACTGTTCTCCGTTCCCCTCAAGGGCTCCATTTTCAGGACATAAGTGTGATGCCTCTCGGAAATGCCTGGGGCAACTGCGGCTCGCAGGTCCCAAGGGTGCGGGCTGTGGCCTGCAACTGGCAGCAGTGGCAGCTGCAGGGTCTCCAGTGCTGATGGGCAGGTTACGATGTTCTGTGAACGTAGGCGGGTGCATCCAGTGAATGGCGTGTGTTGTTGATGGCCCTTGGTCAGAGTTAATTGATAGCGTCCTGGGACACAGTTGGGGACGGGACTTCCGGGTGCCGAACGACCGAGCTGACACCCAGGGTCTGCCCAGCAGGCCAGCCAGCGGGAGGAGTCAGGGAGGGCACAGGCGCCACAAGGCTTTGAGGCTGCGGTGGGTGTGGAGGGAGCCAGCCTGCCTGCCCTGCGTGCCGGTGGCTTGGCGGTGGCTGCAGGGGTGGCGGGAAGGGGGCAGGTGATAGGGACACGTTCGGGGTGAGAGTGCCTTCGGGGACATGGCCACTGGCCTGTGCAAGACCTCTTGCCCCTGGGGGTTCACCCCTCCGTCAGGTCCCTCCCCAGGGCTGAGGTTGGCTGGACCTCTGTCCCCCAGGACACCTGGAGACCCGAGCAGGTGCAGGCGTGCCCAGCAGCTCTGGCCCAGGGCGTGCGCTTGCTCACCTGGGATCTGCCTCTGCCCCCACAGCAGCCGTCCCGGCACCGGGGCAAGATCGCCTCAGGTCGGCACCTGCAGCTTCTCTGCAGGCAGGATCCCAAACTCACACCCTGCCCTCAAGGCCTGTGGTCGGTGTCCCAGCTCTGCTGCTGGGGCCCTCGGCCTGACCACCCCCAGGCCCGTCTCTCAGGGGTGAGGCTCGGGGCAGGTCTGCCCCTCCCCACTTGTAGGGACACAGCAGCTGCCTCCAGATCAGGGTTCCAGATGTCTCCCCGCATGGCCGCAGCCTGGCAGCAAGAGTGCAGGCATCGTGGAAGACGCAAGTCTCAGACCAGAGAAAGACGGTGCCCAGGACAGGCAGGGGGCGAGGAGTGTCTGCCGCACTGTGGGAAACCCCACACTTCCCCAGGAGAGGGAGCCCTTGGCCGCGACCAGGGTCCAGGCCGTGGGGGTCAATGGTGAGCTGACCTTGCTGGGGCAGCGGGTGACCCTGTGTCTCTCTCCGTCCCCTGCAGCCATGAAGTCGGGGGGCACACAGCTGAAGCTCATCATGACGTTCCAGAACTACGGGCAGGCACTGTTCAAGCCCATGAAGTGAGTGCGGCGCCGGCTGGGGGCCGGGGGCCGAGAGGGGTCCGTGAAGGGGGAGCGGGGGCTGGGGGCCAGGGGCCCAGGGACAGCACAAGGGCTGTTGGAAAGGCGGTTTCAGCAGGTCTTAGACATGCGCCCTGATTTCTAATTTTCAAGATAAGCTACAAATACAGTTTTTTTCTGTTTAATCTTCAAATTTTAAAAACTTTCTTTTGTGAACGTATAATCTGTGTGAGTTTTTGATAGAACAATGTGGATTAATTAGATGGTAGTATTCCCCCCCCCCCCAGATCTTGAAGCAGGTAAGTTGGGAGGGGCAGCCGGCGACATGGGTGGGGCCTGGGGGTCCTGACCTGTGGGCACCCCAACCACTGCAGAACCACGTGTCTGGAAAAGCAAGGAACCAGCATGTTAGCCCGAGTCCCTGGACCCCGTGTGGGGTTTCTTAACGGCTTTGTGAAGGTACAATTCACCCAGCACACACGTCACCCACTTACACCCACAGTTCAGCAGCCTCGCGCGCGGGTGCGTGTCGGTCACATGCCGGGTGTTGGGAACCACCCGTCACTCCGGACAGAAGCTGCACAGCCAGTCCTCACTCAGCGGCCTCAGGAGGAGGCTCTGCAACTTTCTGTGAAATGACAGGTAGTGAGGAAAGGTGGCACCGCCGGCTGAGTGACCCACACCAGACTTAGCTCCCTGCGCGTCCCATCAGCGTGACCTGCTGACCCTCCTCTGGGCCCGGACGACCCCTGGTCCCCCGCGCCCCATCTCTGTGGGTGTTCCTGGTCTGGGGCTTCATGTGAATAGAATCATGACATGCGAGTTCTCTGTGACCGCGTCTCTCGCTCGGCGTCATGTCCTTGGGGCCAGGCCTGACCCCTCTCCGAGGCGAATGCCACGTGTTCTTCCGCTGTAGGTATGCGGGTCGCTCCCGTGCTCCGCTGTGTGAATCTTGCTGTTGGGGACGTTCGTTCGCCTGCCAGTTCCGAGCAGACGCACGTTTTCGTGTCTTCTGGGCGCAAACACGGGGCCGCATAGTAACTGGGCTTCGCCGCTCACAGGATGGCCAGACCGCCATCTGCAGCAGTTACCCCATAATCTCGATGAGCCTCAGCACTCGCCGACACCCCTCATTACCACCCTCTGATTACGGCCCTGCTGGCGGGCGGGAAGCGGTGCCTCCGCGTGGGCTCGCCCTGCGCATCCCCGGGGGCTGACCGCAGCCGCAGGTTTGCGCGTCCCTGTTGGCCACAGGCAGGACTTCCCAGAAGTGCCGCTTCAGGCCTCTCTCTTTTCGTGGGTGGGCTGCGTCTGTGAATGGGTCGTAAGACTTCTTTGTACGCATCAGATGCAAAACCCTTCCCACATCTGGTGTGTCCTCCTTGATTCTGAGGATGTGTAACTTGGGTGCATGTGATTTTGATGTAGTATTTAAGGGTTTTTTTTTTCAAGATTGTGTTTACTTTTAGAGACAGGGTAAGAGAAGGAGAAAGAGGGAGAGAAACATCAATGGGAGAGACAAACTTCGTTCAGTTGCCTCTCAAACGTGTCCCGACTGGGGTGGGATGTGCAACCCAGGGGTGTGCAACCCAGGGGTGTGCCCTGACCAGGAATCGAACTGGTGGCCACACTGCCCAGGGCAGTACAATAGTTTTGAGGTTGAAAAATACATCTGCCCTGTAGGTAGAGTTCAGGTGGTGTGAGTGGCTAAAATTCCAAAGTCCTCAGTGGCGTTCCCTAGAAGCCTGCAGGCCGGGTGGCCTTTCCTCGGGGCCTTGGTCCACTCCTTTCCCGCCTGATGGCCACTGTTGGGGTGCAGAGGGCCACACGGTGCCTCCCAACACTTCTCTTTCCCTCCTTTTTAAATTTGTTTTGTCTGGGGGCTGCTCCGCTGGGTGGAGCCGCCCCGCCCCAAAAGCTATTTCCTGGTGTCAGTTGTGGCACGGGACGGTCTCTGCTCCGGACGTCACTCACGAGGGCCGCTGATGGTGCTTTCACGCTCGGAGTCACCTGGCTTCCTGTCAAGGGGCAGGCTCACTACCAGCTGTCCTTCAAGGAGGATCAGATGGGTTTCTGTGTCAACAAGGGGTGGGGCTCACACCAGGGCCAGAGTCCAGGCTTGGACGTCCAGCGGAGGCCAGGCCGGCTGGGGCGTCTTTGCTGAGACATCAGCGACTCCGGGGTCACCGCATGTGTCAGAGAGGCCTCGGTCTTCAGATTCGCCTCCCGTCTGCACAGGGTGGGCCCCACCCAGTGTGTCTGGTCGGCCTCGACTCACCGGTTCCCCTCCGGGCCGGGTGTCCCATGCCCAGAGCCTCCCCACGAGCCACCCACTTCCTTTCCTTCTGCACGTAACAGGCACGTGTGTATTTGTCCCAGTGAAACCATCTGGGAACAGCGGTTTCTAGGGCCCAGGGGTCTGAGAACAGCGGTTTCGAGGCTCAGGGGTCCTTTGTGGCTGAGATGCATGCACAGCAGCGGCTGCAGAAACCTTGCCGGCTGGTGCTTCTAATCGCAGACACTGGAGCCCCCGCCTGTTCCAATGAGCGAGGCCGCCAGGCTCAGGCAGAGGAGGGAGGAAGGGCAGGGCAGCGGGAGGTCGGGTCCTGTGTTCCGTGTGCTGGGCGCTCGGCGCCCTGGCGGCGGGTGGACAGACCTAGGCACACATCAGTGTAGGACCTCGTGGGAAGCTGTCCCGGGGGCAGGGGGAGGGAAGGAGCCTGGGAGCAGTCCTGTGAGGGGGTGTTGCAGAGGGAGCAGGAACCCCCTGGGCTCATGAGCGGAAGCCCTGGGGAGAAGAAGGGTTTCTGGGCCAGTGATCGCGCAGTTAGGAGCATCTGCATACTTGCGTTCTCCCGACAAACACTCGGTGTTTTCTCTGAGCGGTGCCCTCCCTCCGCCCGGAGGCAAACAGATTGCCCAACAGCCCGTCGCTGGGTGTAGAGCCAGCAAGAGCCCTGGCCAGGGACAGACAAGGACCCTTTTGTGTCCACACTGGGTTTGGGCAGCCTCCAAACCCACCCCTGCCCTCCTTGTGGCTTCCAGGACCTCAGCATCTTCCCCGCAGGGGCCCCAGCCAGGGTCCTCCCTCAGGTCTGAGTTGGCTCCACGGAAGCGGCCGGGCCCCAAGTCCCACGTGGGCTGGAACTGCCGGCTCGAGGCCGACCAGGGGCCTCCCTGACCCTGTCCAAAGACCCATCCCACAGCCTTGTTGGTCAGGGTCATCCCTCCCCTGTTTTCCGCCCCCTGACCTGGCATAGTCATCAAGGCCGATGGTAGCTGCTATTGTGGCACCAAGTTTTCGGTAGCGACCAGACGCAGAAAGCCCTGCCTGGCACGGAGCTACAATTCTCCAGGAGCCGATAGCCAGGCAAACAGATAAATGGGAACATTTCGGAGGGTCAGTCTTGGGGAGGACTCAAGCCAAGCCTTGTGGCAGAGATGCCCTGTGGCCAGGCCGGGCCTCTGCCGTGACCCAGGAACAGGACCCAGAGGCAAGGTGGGCACAGGCTTCTCTGAGCCCTCATGGGAAGTGGCTGTCCTTGCCGGTTCACAGAATGTGTGGCGCCAGTGCTTGCCGGCCACGTGCGAGGCCCTCTGTGGACGGGGCCGGCCGTCGCACTGGCCCGAACTCTCCATGGGCTGTAGGGGCCAAGCCAGCTTCTCTGCCCACTGAGGCCACCTGGCTTCCCCAGACACCTGTTCGCTCACCTCTGCTCTGCGTGACCGCTGAGAACTACCTGCTTAGCAGGTGGAAGGAAGAGGGAACAGTAACTGCTTTGCAGCCCCACGTGGGAAGATGGGCAGGGCCCAGGAGACTCGGAGGGTGCCCCCTGGGCCTGCCCTCCGCGCGGGGAGCGGTGCCCAGACCTCCCGTTGCCCCACCTTGGACTCCCAGCGCCTCGCTGACGGAGACAACAATTCCCTGGGGGCTTCTGGAAAAGATCGTCCCCTTTGTTTAAAATCAAAGCAAGTCGTTTCCTGCACGGCAATATCCAGAGTGTGTCTCCGTGTTCTCTCTGGCTGTTGCAGCTCCTAGGGGCTGGTTCGGGGGTGGGCCAGCACCCTACTTGTCATGAATTGGGGGGTGAAAAGGCGGGGAAGAGGACGTGGTCTTCGTTTTCCTCGTACGTACGGGAAGAAAGTGGAAGGCGGGGCATTGCCCCCAAGAGCGGTGTGGCTGGGCCTGGCGGTGCTCGCGGCTCCTCCTGGAGGAGCTCTGCAGACAGCAGGGCTCCTTGCACGGCCCTGAGAAGGAGCCGCCCGAGAGCCGCCCGCCTACAGAGCCCGTGTGTCCCTCCTGCTGGAGGAAACCATGGCATGGCCGGGGTCCTGCTGCTAAGCGAGGGTCTCCTCCAAGGCGCAGCGGCCAGCACGGCAGTGACCTCGTCTTTTCCTGTTTCATGAAACAGCGACTGTGTGCACACCTGCACCCCAGGGCCCCCACTGAGGGGGGGGGCGATCTCGTCTCCACTTCATTCTCGTGCCTTAGTCACCTCTGCAAGCACTGGACGAGCCACAGAGGGTGTTAGAAATGCAGATCTGAGACTGCAAAGCATGTCCGTCCCCCATTGCCCTCGAAACCCGGGCTGTGTCACCGCAGTCATCGTCCCGACAGTCACAATTTCTGAGTCGACTTTGAATGACTGGTATCCGTTGAACTGACTCTAACGGCTTTGGGAGCCTCTCCTGGGTTGGTTTCTTCTCCTGACCAGAGAAAGGAGCCCCTTTTCTTTCTGCGTCCCACTCGGAAGGGGGTCTCAGTGTCTCCCCAAGGCCCCTGGGGACGTGGCAGGTTGAAGCCCCCTTGTGGTTGCCTGCGTGGTGGCCCACCACAGTTCTGAAGCCCTGACCGAGCAGTCAGGGGCAGCGCAGGCCTGGGCCTCACTGACCGAGTGCTGGCAGGAAGACGCATAGGCCCCGTGTGGTCACTGTGAGGCTTATGGCATTGCAGACATTTGCCAAAAAAGGAGCCGTGTTTCTGGGAGACCCCTACCCTGCTGCCCCACAACCCCGAGGGGGTCCCTGTAGGCAACTCAGACACCCAAGGCCTCTCGGCTCTGGTACCAGCGCAGTGAGGGCCCTGCACCGGCTCGTTCACCGGCCTATGTGAGAGAGAGTGAGGCAGGGTGCCAGGGCAGTCTGGTGTGAACATGGTGTGTGTGCATGTGTCTGGCTGCGTGGCGTGTGCACTGCTGTCCACGGACACTGCCCTTCCCCGAGGGTGCTCGTGGCCTCTGTGCTGCAGGGTGGAGTGTGTGAGGCCCCTCTCTGGGCCTCGGTTTCCCATTGGCACCGGCGACCTCAGGGCATCCTGGCTCAGTGTGACCGCCTGCGCCAGGCAGAAGCAGGCTGCTGGGGGCCTTCCAGGGGGAGCAGGCGCAGACGGGAACCCTGCAATCCCAGCTCTTCTTCGTTTCTCCAGGTTCTGCCTCTTCTCCCCTATTCGGTCCCTTTGTCCCGGCTGCCAAGGCCACAGCCCACTGGGCCACAGCCGCTGCTTCCCAGGAACGTTGGCCTCTGGCCCTTCTTCTCCACTTCCTGCTGCACAGGCTCAGGGCACTCACCCCGCCCCTTGAGGGGCCAAGAAGGCCCAGGGCCCGACCGGGACGCTGCTCGCTCGCTGGCCCCTGTCATCCGCAGGGCACCCTGACTTCTGCGCACTGTGCTCCTGGTGCTGTTCCAGGAAACGCTTGTCCGCAGCCTCCTTGTCTGCCCCACCTCATCGGGCAGGCTGCTCACCAGGTCTGGCAGTGTCCCCTTCCCCTTCTGTACCCCCCACCCTAGGAAGAAGCCACTTGGGCCCTGCCCTTCACCTCCTCCCACCCCGGGCACACCTTCCGCCTGGACACCTGGAGGAAGGGAAGGTTGCCAGGTGACCAGGTTCAGGGAGTCCAGCCTCCGGCCTGGGGCAGCGGGTTCAGTACTTTTCCAAAGTGTTTTCCCCGAACGGCTCAGTCAGCGGCAGCACCTGCTGTCCTGCAGTGCAGCCCAGGAGGTCGCAGCCTCCCCGCATTGCTCCCCATGCCGTCCCTGCTGGGCAGTCGGGCCCTGAGAAAAGCCAGCCTGGCCCCTGCAGCAAGTTCTCGCCCTTCTGAGACGCCTGAGCTCTCCTCGGGCGTGGGCTGGCGGTAGGAACAGCTGCCGCCGGGGGTCGAGCTGGTGGCCTGAGGGGGCTGTCATCTCCTAGATGTCTGGGGGTGTGGCCCTATTTCTTTCCTTACATCACTGGTCGTCCACGGCTCACGGGTCTGCACCACACTCTCAGCCTTGCCCCTCACGGGGCCTTCCACACCAGTCCAGGCCTTTCCTCATGCTCCTTCCCTGTGTGTCTGGCGGGGGGACCCCTCAGGGGCCAGCGGGGCCGGGGCCCGCCAGCCGCACCCCAGAGCCCTGCTTGAGTATGTTGTGAGGATGGAGATGTGCAGAAAGGATTCCTGCATCCTGGCCGGGGAAGCCAAGGGTGAGGAGCCGGCCAGAGTGCACTCCCGCAGCCTCCTTGAGGGGGCCAGTCAGCCCCCAGCCAGCCCGGGCACCTCCATTTCCACCCATGGGCGTCTGACGAAACAGAGGACAGGGAGGTCCCCTCTGGGGTCCGCTGTCAGCCTGTGCACCCTCCTCTGGGATCAGGTTGAATCGGGCCCCTGTCCCGGGAGCTCCCGGCCGGGAGGAACCTTAACACCAGCCACCTGCACAGGTGGGTGGAGGGGCGCCCACACAGCCTGGAAGCCCCAGGGCCCCTCACCCCTCAGGTGTGAGGACAGAAAAACATTTGACCTTGACCCTGCACTCCGGGCCTTCTGGGGAGGGAGCATCTGTCTGGACATTAGAGCAACGGGGGCCTGTGTGGCCTCGGGCTGGGACCAAGCTGCCTCTTGCTGTGAATAGCAGGGGACGGAGGAAAGCCTGGGGTGGCGGGTGGCAGGGAACCAGGAACTTCCCTGGACCCTGGTCACTGCGCCTGTAGGAAGTAGCTGGGTTCTTCCCAGAGCCACCTATGGCCCGGGTGTGTGACTGGCCCAGAGGCCAGGAGAGGGGACAGAGGCCAGAGCGCTGCCCGGCAGAAGTGCTCGCCGTTCTACATCATAGCGGTCGCACTGCACACCGGGCAGGGGAGGCTGACACGCGTCGTGGACAGGGCCACGGAGGTGACGGTGGGGGTGACAGTGATGGTGGTGAGGAGGAGGATGGCGGTGACATGGGGTTTGAAGAAAGGACAGTGGAGGGAGCTCTCGCTGCACGGGGACGTCTGCCCCTCCCCGCTGCTCCTCGGCCCACCCTCTGTTGAGTGCTGGTTCGGAGCAGATGCTTAGCCAGGCCCTCCCACCCAGGCCCTGCACTCAGTGACCCGGGGCGTGGAGAAGCCTGTCTGGGCCCGAGACCGGTCAGGGGAAGTGGGCACAGCCTGGGGAAGGCTCGGGGCCAGGCAGGACCAGGGCTGGGGCTGCTGGGAGTCAGCGGTGGCAGAGCTGCAGGCTGGGCCAGGAGAGCGGGCTGGAGGGGTGGACAGAGGTTTCTGACTGTAACAGTCCCGGGTTGGGAGGCGCCTGGGAGCCGGCGAGAAGGGGGACCGCGCCCCAGGGTCCAGGTGGGACTGGGCTCAGCCACGAGTGCCCTTCTTCGGGAAGGTTTTCTCAGGGATGAGCCCTTTCTGTTCTGTCCAATTTCTCTAGGCAAACTCGAGAGCAAGAGACACCTCCTGACTTTTTTTATTTCTCCGACTACGAGAGGCACAACGCGGAGATCGCTGCCTTCCACCTGGACAGGTGAGCCTGGCCCACCTGTGTCTCCCCACGGAGGCTGGTGGAGGTCGGTTTGCCCGCAGCCCGGGTGCATAACTGTCCCTCCCCTGCGGGAGGGCTGGCCCCTGCCCTCGGTGACGCAACCCAGACGGAAGTGCCCTGCTGTGCCCTCACCTAAAACAGCATCTGCAGGACAGACTCGGGAGTGGCTGGGGACGCAGGGTGGGTGGTGGGCTGCTGGGAACGAAGGGAGAGGGAAGGGGGGCATCTCGTGCTGGGAGTTTGGCACAGGGGATTGCACGGGTAACTTTCTCTGGCAGGTGAAGGAGGCACTGGGGGACGAAGTTCTCACAAACTGACCCCCACCGTAGTCACCTGCCTTGGGGGCACCTCCACCTGCAGAACGAATTCCTCTTTGATCTCTACAAAGTCCCCTGCTGCTGTGGAGGTGGCCAGGTGGCCAGTGTGTGACCAGGAGGGACGGACAGTCAGCAGCTCCTGGGCTCACTCAGCTCTGCCTCCTCCGGGGGGGGAGTTTGCATGCCTGGCTCTGGGGTCCAGCCACTTCGCCGGGGCTCTCTGGGGCCTCACACTCGGGGAGCGGTGCAGGGCCCAGAGCAACGAGGTTACCAGGCTGGTTGGAGTGCAGAGCCACGGGCTGACCCTGGTCCTGCAGACCAGGCAGGCCACAGGCCCGGGAGGCAGCGGGGGGTGCACTCACTGGGCCCCACCTCGAGCAGGCGACAGGGACGTGAGGTGAAGCTTCCCTCCCACACCCCTGTCCTGCCAGGATCCTGGACTTCCGACGGGTCCCTCCCGTGGCCGGCAGGATGATCAACATGACCAAGGAAATCCGGGACGTCACTCGGGACAAGAAGTTGTGGAGAACCTTCTTCATCTCTCCAGGTGAGCTCACCTGGCGGCGCCCTCCCCCCACCGCCGCCCGGCTTGCTGCTCACAGCGCCTGGGAGCTCAGTTCCCTTTCCTGGCAACTGAGACATTGTGTGGCGCACTGGCCTCCAGTGGCCGCTACTCTTGCCGCCTGCACCTGCACTCCTGCCTCGAGGGGCCACCACACCGGTGGGTGGTGGCCTCCTGTTTGGCCTGGCCCCTGGGTGGGCGCAGGGCTTGTTTCTACCACTTGCTTGTTTTCAAAGGCAAAAGGAAATCATTTTGGAAAACTGCCTGGCTCCCCGGAATCTTCTCCAGGTGGCCCAGCCAGGGAGACCACTGGTCTCCAAACTTCCCCTGGAGACTTTGCTGGTGCTGACCGCCTGGGGTCTGGCCCGGGCCACGCCCCCAGGACCACCCTGCGGGGCTGCCTGGGCATGTGGACTCCCCCATCCGCTTTCTGGTGCAGTTTTTATGGCTATTTTCTAAAATTAGACCACACCAGGTTCTCCTGTGCCCACCACCCAGTTTGGCATCCTTCTGCATCAGACGCAGGTCCACGCCTTGTTTCCAGGGCTCTCACTGTGGAGATGCCCGAACGACGGTCTCAGAGTTGGCAGAGGGGGCCAGGGGCTCCGCTGCTGATGAGAAGGTGCCTCAGGTGTGGCCCCTCGGGCTGGACAGTGGGATTCAGGGTGCTCGGCCCCCACGTTCCTGCACACCCCAGGCCACCGAGGTTTCTCCAGCAAACCAGTGCGGTGATTCCCCGAAGCACACGCTCCCCGTGGGGAGGTGCAGGAGCAAGCTGTCACCACCGGCCCCATTCACCGGAGGCAGCTGCCGGGGCCTTGCAGGACAGGGGCGGGCCGGGGCACCTAGCAGGCGCGGCGGCAAGCCGTGTGCTCTTTCTAAATTACTCTTTTATTAAGTTGAGACAACAGCTTGTACATCATGAAAGTCGCCGTTTTGAAGTGCATCGTTCAGTGGCTTTAAAACAATCCGAGATGTGGCGCAACATCACCTGATTCCGGAATGTTCCCCTGCCCCAAAGCATCCTGGTCCCTGTTGGCTGTCACCCCCCTTGTTCTCTCCCCCAGCCCTCGGCGTCCATCAATATTCCCATCCAGGTTTGCCTGTTCTGGGCACTGCATGTGAATATAGTCACAGGGCACGTGGTTTTGGGTCCGACTGCCCTCACTGGCACCTCGGTGCTACCAGGGCGGAGCGGCGTCAGGTGGATCCACGCACCACCTGATAGCCGTGGGTGGGTCTGCCCCAGCGCTGAGAAGGCGGAGCAGTTTGGGTCCACCTCCCCCCCGCTCTGCAGGGTGAGCCTGGGGACGGGCTCGCTGGTCCTGCAGTGACTCTGTGTCTCACTCCTGAGGACACTCAAGCTGTTTTCAGAGCAGCCGCCCAAGTCACCTTCCCACCAGCACCGCGCTGGGCTCCGGTTTCTCCGAGTCCTCGGCAGCACTAATGCCGGGCGGTTCTTGAGCGGTTCTTTTGACCTGAGCTGCCCCAGTGGGCGGGAAGTGGCATCTCGCCACCGAGGGGCGTGCGTTTCTGCCGCAAGCAGTGAGGTCGGGCATCTTTTCACACCCTTGCTGGCCACTGGAAGGTCTCTGGAGAAATAGTCAGATTCCTTCATCCACTGGTGAAGGGGCTACTTTTCTTTCTCATGTCAAGTTGCCAGAGCTGTCTGCATGGGGTAAAGGCCGGGTCCTGGTCAGACAACGCTGTGCAGACTTTGCTCCCACTCGGGGGGCTGTCTCCTCCCTCTCCTCGCGGCACAAACCCCCTTTTCCAGCCATCGGGCACGGACTCTGGGGTTCCCACAGACTCAGTCCCTTAACTGAGGGGCTGAGCAGGAAGCTCCTGGGTTCAGACCCTCTCGGACATTCATGTGGCCTTCGGCGGCCAGCTGCCCTCCCGGCGCCAGTTTCCTGCAGCGTGGGGTCAGGGTGGGCCACCAGGTGGAAGGGGGGCACACAGGGAGCCCCCCTGGAGGACCCGGCCTGGCCCGGAGCGGGCCGTGGCTCCAGGGGTCCTCAGACCAGCGTGCCCCCTGCCCGCAGCCAACAACGTCTGTTTCTATGGGGAGTGCTCCTACTACTGCTCCACGGAGCACGCCCTGTGCGGGCGGCCCGACCAGATCGAGGGCTCGCTGGCCGCCTTCCTGCCCGACCTGTCGCTGGCCAAGAGGAAGACATGGCGGAACCCGTGGCGGCGCTCCTACCACAAGCGCAAGAAGGCAGAGTGAGTGTGAGCCGCCAAGGCTGCGGCAGCCGATTCTGACTTTCCCGGGTACTCAGGAGGGCCTGCTGCTTGCTCCCAGCAGGAAGGAGGGGCCGGAGGGGGGCTGGGCCTCGTCCACAGGAGTGTGTGTGATCACACGGTCTGGTGGGGTGCCCTCACTCGGAGAGCTAGACCCCGAGGGGCGACGCCCTGCCTGCTCGGCCTCTGTGTTCACACAGGGTGTCCACCTGCTCCCACCCTTCTGGTCCCCTGTGTCCCTGAACGGCGGCCCCTCAAACACCACACCCTGGGCCGACACTAGCCTCCAGCTGTGGTCACTCCAGGGCAGAGCGGCGTGGCTGCCTCACCCCTGGCCTGCACCCCTGCGAGCGGCGGCAGCCCACCAGGGGCGTGTCCATCGGTAGATCCGTTGTTTTCTGGTGATGCCTGCTCCCCACACCCAGCCCTTCATGTGAGGCCACCCCTGCAGGGGGTCCGGGCCTCCCTGTCCGCACTGGGAGGGCCGGCCTCTCACACCGGCTCCCTGCAGGTGGGAAGTGGACCCCGAGTACTGCAAGGAGGTGAAGCGGACGCCCCCCTACGACAGCAGCCACCGCATCCTGGACATCATGGACATGACCATCTTTGACTTCCTCATGGGTACATCCAACCAGCCCTGAGCCCCAGGCACCAGGCCGAGGGGACACCCCTGCAGCCGCGGTGGGGAGAGGGGCCCCATTCCCTGCCTCAGTCTCCGCTTTGATTTTGTGATTAGGACTCAGCAGGGTGTGGGGAGGGAGGGAAGCCACGTTGGAGCCGCACGCGACTTTGAGCCATGGCGGGGTTGCGTCTCTCCCCAGGAAACATGGACCGCCACCACTACGAGACCTTTGAGAAGTTCGGGAACGAGACCTTCATCATCCACTTGGACAACGGAAGGGGGTGAGCCCTGCTGCTGCAGATGCTGCGAGAGGCTGGCCGCCACCCCACCCCCACCTCCCTGGATTCCAGTCCAGACAGGAGGCGCCCCCCCCCCAGGCCCACTCTGCCACGCAGGGCTCCTGGAGGCAGGAGGGGTCTGTGACAGCATCCCACCCGATCCTCGCAGTGACCGTGAGAGCTGGGCCTTGTTACGTTCCCGTGTGGCTGTGGGGAAACTGGGGCCCAGGGAGGCTGCTGGCCAAGGCAGGGGCGTCTACCCCGCAAGCCGGCGTCTGGGACCGGCACCCAGAGACAAACCGCATCCCCTGCCCAGGTCACGCGGGAGAGTCGTTCCTGGTGCCCTGGGGAGCAGGTGTGCGGGCAGGGAGCCCTGTTCCGACGGTCAGAGCCGCAAGGGCTCAGTGCCTCAGAGAAACCAGCTTTGGACACCTGGATGGTTCATGTGTGGGGGCCACTCGGTCCCAGCTGTCAAAGGGGCTGCCACACTGACCCAGCTGACTGGCCTCATGCTGTCTCCTGGGGCTGCCTGATGCTGTGGGCATGAGCTTCTGCTCAGTGGCCAGAGAGCCCCAGGCCCTGTGTTGGGCACCCATGAGACGCCCCCAACCACCCCCCTCCTGTCCCATGCTCTCGTCCCAGAAGGTGCCTGGGTTGGGACTCCTGCAGCCCCCACGCCGACTCGACAGGTCTGCTTTTCCTCCCACAGGTTTGGGAAATACTCCCATGACGAGCTCTCCATCCTGGTGCCTCTACAGCAGTGCTGCAGGTACCACCCCCCCCACACACAGGGAGCCCTGCCGCCCAGCCTCGCCTCAGGCACAGCCACCAGGTCCCCCACCCCCACCCCGTGCCAGAACTCTACGCCCTAGGTGTGACCCACAGCCCCTCCTGCCACCCGGCAGCATGCCCAGCCCTCCCCTGACGCTTGCCCAGCCCAAGCTCAGGGGCTCAGCTTCCTGTCACCCTAACCGCCCATCATGCAGTTGGGAACGTGGCGGCCCAGACTCTGAGCCTCTCTGCCACCCTCTATGGGGCACCCCACCCCATCTGCCCCGCAGTTGGGGGGCAGGCTGTGGGCAAACCACCTGCACTCAGCTGGGGGTGCATCTTGCCGTGCACCCTGCTCTGAGCTGGGGACTGTGCCCCAAAAGCAGGCTGTCCCTCTCTCCCCAGAGTCTGCCTGGGGTAACAGTGCCTGCTGGGCCTCACGGGCGCCACGGGCCTCAGGGCAGGACCCACCGGGGGCCAACAAGGCACCCGTGCTCCGCCCGTCCCGGTCCCCAGGTGTAGCCCATCAGCACCTTCCACGCCCCGCAGGGTCAGGAAGTCCACCTACCTGCGGCTGCAGCTGCTGGCCAAGGAGGAGTACAAGCTGAGCCTGCTGATGGCCGAGTCCCTGCGCCAGGACCGCGTGGCCCCCGTGCTGCTCCAGCCGCACCTGGAGGCCCTGGACCGGCGCCTGCGCCTGGTGCTGCAGGCCATCGGGGACTGTGTGGGGAAGGACGGGCTGCACCGCGTGGTGGATGACGACCTGGACCCCGGGCACAGAGGCTCCACCGACAGGTAGTGACCGCAGCCGCCGGCCGGCGCTGACGACGGACACACGCGCCCACTCCGCGCGCTCGCCAGCCCACGGGACCGCGCCTGGACCCGGAACCTCGGACATGCGGCCCTTCGGCAGTGGGTCCCACAGGACGTGTCTGTTCATCTCCCCGACCAGAGAGCGTCGGGGGGGGCGGTGCCCATGGACGGGGCGGCCCGCCCTGCAGTATGGACGGGAATCTTGTTCCCCATTGTGTGTTTATACACAGATTTCACGTATGTGAGTAGAGACGCCTGCACAGACCCCAGACTCTCACTGAGGGTCTCATCCTGGGCCACGTTCCCTGCCAAGGGCCCACGGGCTTCTGACCGAACTGAGAATAAAAGCCCTTTCTCCTCCCTCCCTGGACACACTGGGAGGGTCCCCTTTGAGAACACAGCCCTGGTGGCTGGCATGGACTTGCGTGGACAGATGAGCGTGTGTTTTAGAGTGACAAAAATGACCAGTGACTCCGTTTCTCAGTGCTGCCCATGAGTACCTGGGACTCTGCTGGGCGGCAGCCGGGGCCGAAGCTCATCTTCTGACTCTGCTGTGGGGACTCGGCCTCTGCGTGTCCCACAGGGTCCTCCGAGTGTCCCACGGGGTCCTCCACGCGCCCCTGGTGCATTTCTGTGGGTTAGTCTGCAATGCAACGGAAGTGCAATAAAGATACACCCAGCGTGTGTTGGGGCCTCCATGGGGCCCATCCCGCCCGCCCTCCAGGTGAGCAAGCGCTGGCGATGGACACGGCCGAGGCCCCAGGTCTCACAGTGTTCATGCTGGCCAGGCACCTGGGGCTGGAAGGAGCAATGCTAAGCTCTCTGGAGAGAGCCCGGGGCAGGACGGCGGGGCACCAGCTGCCCCACTCCTGGGGGAACAGCTCTGAGAGGCAGGCCAGCCCCCATGGGTGCCATCAGGTGGACACATCGTGGTCACCCAGGGGAGCTGGGACGGCGGTGGCTGTAGGAAGGGGAGCCTAAGAGATCCAGCCCCCCAACCAAATGCTCCCCTCTTCTGCTGGCCACGGGCCATGAGGCAGCCTCAGTGAGCCCAGCCTGGGAAGGTCCAGGCACTTTCCAAGGCGCTAGAGCGTCTCCTGAGAGCGTGCACGGGGCCCTGTGCTGCCGGGGCCCAAGGGGTCACGCCAGCCTCGGTGCTCACAGAGCACAAGAGACCTCTCTCCGTGGAGCCCCGTCTGGTAATCAGCCTCCCCGCCTCTTACTGGGCGTCCGCTCACCCTGGTGTGGCCCAGTCCCCGTCCAGTGCTCCTGGTGTCCAGAGCTGAGCTGCCATTGTGTCCCTCACCTCCCAGGTAGGGAAACTGAGGCTCAGGAGGGTGAGCTCCCTCTGTCCGGAGGTCAGTTTGGGCTCCAGGAATGGCAGCGCCTGGGCTCCGGGCTTCCGGATGCACTGGGGCCGAGCTCGAGTCTGGCAGCCTCGCCCACACAGCTGAGCCGACAGGTGCCAGGCCGCAGACGTGACAGAGTGGCCCCAGACGCCTGTCCCCACCCCGGTTCCCGCCCAGCTTGCTGCCTCCCACCTCACGGCGTCTGCCTGTCGCAGCTGTGGCGTGTGACGCCCGCCCGCCCGTGCGGAGCCCACAATTTCCCAGGCGCCCTCCCGCCTGCCGCGGTGCCGGGCCTCTGAAAGGGCTCTGCTGCGGGGATCCCTGTCCTGTCCTGCCGTTTTACGGTGTCTGACCCAGGCTCTGGCAGGCGGAAGGGCTTCCTGAGTTCCATGCGGACGCAGTGGCATTTGGGGCTCCCGTGTGCCTGACGGCTGGATGGCAGGGGTCCCGCCCAAGAACCCAGCGTGCCCAGCCTCCGGCACTGGGCCTGCAGAGCCATGTGGAGTGGAGACCGGGGAGGGCGGGTGGGCCCAGGACTGAGGGAGCAGACCGAGAGGAAGAAAATGGCTTTCCGCCCAACCCCTCGTGGCTAATGTCCGCTTTCCCCCGAGAGATGAGCCGCCGCCTTGTCAGCAGTCAGGGCAGCATTTGCCAGAGGGTCCAGGAGAGCCCGTGGCCGAGAGTCCAAACACTATTTTAAAAATAAATAAAATGGAGAAAAATCAAAACCAATCCCCCTCCCTGGTCAGCTGGGACCTCACGTGGGAGGATCAAGAGGCCAGCAGACCGGGTGGCTCTGAGGGCAGAAGCCATTTCCAGAGTCGGAGCCAGTGAATGAGCAGGTAACTCCAGGTGTGCACGGGGCCCACCGTGGGTGCGGGGACGTACTCCGCTCCCAGCACCCATCCAGAAGTCTGACACAGACGAGGACTAAGGCCACCCGCTGGGGGCTGAAGGGAACAGTGCCTTCTAGACCGGGGTACTGCTGGGCCCTCCCGCTGGCCCCCAAGTGCGCTCACCCTCACCCTGTCCCCCCACCCCTGCCCAGTCACTGTGGGTCATGGTCCCCCACCCAAAGAGGCCCAGCGGCCTTTGCTGTGGGTGGCAGGGGTGGGGGCCTGGTCCGAGGTGGGGGAAGGTGGGCCTCAGACCTGTCCGCACAGCAGAAACACAAAGCCCCCATGTGTGTGCCAGGGACCCAGAAGGGGACTTGCTCACCTACTCGGAGGTGGCATCTGAGAGGAAGGGGTTTGTGGGCCAGGAGGACTGCCAGCCTGGAGCCCAGGCCTTCTGGGAGCTGGGCACAGGGCCCACCCCGTCTCCGTGGCCTCGTGGCTTTCATGGGGTAAGTGGGGAGAGGAAGCAGGGGGAGGGGCCCTCGGGGCTGACTGCTCAGAATTGGGTCAGGCAGTGTGGGGTCAGGCAGCCAGGCAGCAAGGGGTGACACCAGGGCCTCAGCCCTGGTCAGTGCCTCCTCCAACTGCACTCGGCAGAGGTTCCCGCAAGCCCCTCACCCTTGGCAGGTGGGATAAGGCCAGGCCCAGTCCCACTGCGCCCTCTAGAGGACAACCTGTGAATGGCAGGACAGAGAGCCAGCCTGGGCATGGGTCCCCCTGCTCCTGAGAACCAGCTGCCAGGATGCCCGTCTGAGTGACATAGACACCCCCGCTGCCGGGCAGGCAGGCCCAAGCCAGGTAGGCCCCTGCCAGTCGTCCGGGCTCCAAGCAGGCCAGCCTATCTTGTCAGTGTCCAGCTCATGTGTCCAGCCCAGGCCAGACCCGAAGCCCCAGGCATCCCGCCCTCCACTTCCCTGCCAGGACCTGGCGCTCCAAAGATGCCTGCTGAGTGTGAATACAAGTTCTGCACAATAAATATCTGCAGATTAGCTTTTCAACTAGAAGTTTGGGATTCATCTGGAAGTCGATGGAAGTTACAGAAGTACTCTGGCCCCCTGGAAGCTTCCAGAAGCACAGCTTCCAGCCTAGAGCTCTCCGCCCTGGGGCCAGCAGTATGGTGTTGACCCCAATTCTGAGCACTGCTCCCACGTCTCCCCGGGAGAGGACTTGCCTGGTCCTCTGCAGGTCTTCCCTCAGGCCGTCCCACCACAGTCCAGGCCGTGTGTTTCCGGAACGACATGGCCACCATGGCTTCCCCATGAGGCTGGAGCAAGGCGTGCACCCCTGTGCCTGCCGCACAGCCCCCCACACCTCAGGTCCTCGCTGCACAAGGCTGAGGAGCAGGTCTGCACAGTCGGCCCTGCTGACCTCTGCTGCTTGTCTCTTACCGCTGAGCTTGGCAGGTTCCATGGAGGCACCTACCCCTCCCCAACCCCCACAAACCCCGCACCAGCACTGGGCCCTGGCACCGGCCCCCTGGCCACATCCAGTTCTCCTTCCACGTCCTGGTGTCGGCACTTCCGACCACCCCCCCGTGCCCCGTGCCCCACGCTGCTAGAGCCAAGGGTGTGCCTTCCCCACGGGGCTGCTGCCCTCAAGCAGAGCCCCAAGGTCCCTCCTCTTGGTATTCACACCCCTGTGAGCTTCATGTGTGTCCTGGCTGCACTGGGAGACCACAGACTCCCGCCAGCAGTGCCACATCCCTGTCAACGCCAGGTTCTGAGTCCCCGGGCCCTGCCTATCACCACTCTGGTGTGGGGAATCACGTGTGACATCCATCAGCAGTACCGATTTGTGGCTCTGAACTTGGACATTCCAGTGGCCCTGGTGCTGAGGGCCACCCAGGCCCGTCCACTTAACCGAGGTCTCCAAGAGCTCCCCGGCTGAAGTCTCGCCGTTCCCAGACGTCCCTGCAGCACGACCTCGCACAAGTGGCCGGTGGACACATGGGAGGATTCCCCAGGGCCATGGGCTGATGTGACTCTGGGCTAGTCAGTCACCTCTGGGCGCCTGTCAATGGCCTGAACAGCAGCACCTCACACCTCACTTGTGAGATCGTCCGAGAAGCTGGTATTCGTGACAACGCCGTGGGACATCCCTGCCTCTGTTCGCTGTCGATGCTACCATTATTGGTGGTATTTTAAGGAAAATTGTGGCTAAAGGTTAGAGTTTTTCTTTCCACTGCCAGGCCCCAAGTTAATTAATAAATTATTTTTAGGAGTAAGCCCTGGCTGGTGTGGCTCAGCAGATTGAGCACTGGACTGTCAACAAAGGGTTGCCAGTTCAGTTCCCCGTCAGGGCACGAGTCTGGGTTGCGGGCATGGTCCCCAGTAGGGGGCGCACAAGAGGCAACCACACATTGATGTTTCTCTCCCTCTCTCCCTTCCCCCTCTCTAAAAATAAATTAAATCTTTAAAAAAATAAAAAGAAGTCAAGTAGTCATTTCAGAATTCTAAGAAACCGAAATCCACTAGAAAGATTTTTTTAACCAATCAGCCTTCGCCTTCCATTAAACAAGTGAACAGTTTGGCTACTTCTCCACCATGGGGGGAGGGGGCGCATCCTGTACATCCGGGGGGAGCGTGGGAAGAGCTACTGGGCCAACCCCCCAGCTTCTGCCTCCCTGGGGTCTCCAGCCTCCCACTGGCTACAGGTTGCAGGTAAGCCAGGCTCGGATGCGCTGCCTGGCAGTGGGGCTTCTTGCCCTGAGCCCTCAGCTCTGGCCTTGCTGCCGAGGGTGCCTGTGCCCTGTGTGCAGTGCCTGGCTGCTCACCGAAGAGCCAAATGCTGGTGAGTAGGTGGCAGGTTAAGCCACAAAGCCTGTGGCGGTGGGTTACCCAGCAATCAAAGATGCTGCAGAAACCAGCGTGGATTCATACATCACTTGATGACACAAGAAGTACACTCTCCTTATAAAAATGAAAGCTCCGAGGCTGTTCTCTCCCCAGAGGTCACCTCTGTTACCAGGTTAGGGCGGCTTCTTCCAGGTCTTTGCTACAGGGAGGCTGAGGTCTGCGTAACACCTGCCTCTGCCAGGTGTGAGCTTCGCGCCACCCAGCAGCCCGCTCACCGGTGGCTGGTGGCGGTTGAGTGGGTTCTGCATGCGTGGAGAACCCAGAGCTGTGCCGGCCCACAGCGAGCGCTCAGAGAATGTGCCTGATGAGTGGGAGCGTTTTCTCGCACAGAGGGGCCCCAGGGCTTGGCTTCGTCTTCGTGGGTGGCCAACAAAAGGTACGCTCAGCGGGTCACTCTATGACCGTCCTCTGTGGTGGCTTCTGTCTTTGTTGGCCGCAAATGAACCGCGTTCTGTGTTGGTGGCTTTGGAAGCAGCCGGCAGGTGACCCAAAAACTGTCCAGGCCCCGCGTGCAGGTGCAAGGGAGTCCCAAGGGTCTGCTGGGACAGGTGAGAGGTCTGGCCCTACAGAAGCTGGTGGATGAGCTGCCTGCGCCCCTGAACAGGCTCCTGCAGAACCGGCCGCCTCCTGGGACGCGTCTGCCACCTTCACACTGGGAGCCGGATTGCACCTGCGGTGTGTGTGCATGTGGGGGTGGGGGTGGAGTCACAAAGGGCCTGGTAGGGTTTGGGGCTGTTCCTACCTGAACAAAGGAGCGCAGCCTGCAGCTGGGAGGGAGGCTCACCTCCACGCCACTTTGGCTTCAGGGTTTTCCATCGGCCCTGGGTTTGGGTAGCACGTGCGGCTGAGTCAGAGTGGGTGTCACACCGGGGCCCCGGGGTCCACCAGCTGTGGGAGGCAGGCCCAGACTGCCGTCCCCTGTGCCCTGGGGCCAGAGTGCACCCTGGCCGCGGGAAGACAGTCTGCACACACGGATGTAGGGAGCCCAAAGTGTGCTGCCCCGCAAAGAGAGGGCTGTACCGGGCAGGGAGGAGAACAGAGGACAGGGCTCTGGGTGGGAGCAACTCGAAATTCCCCCGGAGGCAGGGTTCGTTTTGGGTCAGTCCCAAGAGGCTGGAGTGAAGTCATGGCTTCATCTGTCACAGGGGTGAGTGTTTAAGCCACAGCACATGGTCACTGATACAGGCTGGGATGGGGAACAGGCCTGGAGCTCTGCCAGGTCCCTGATCCCTCACTCCCTTGGCTTCTGCCTGCCCATGGGGTCCCCAGGAGGACAAGCCCAGGACCGGGCCTCCTGGAAGGAAGGAGACAGAAGGAGGAGGGGATGGGGGCAGGCTAGTGGGTGTGGGCACCATAGTTCAGCAGGGTGAGCCCCACACAGAGCGGAAGGGCGGGGAGGGGGCTCTGTCCCTGGGGGGCTGACGGTGACTCAGCACCCGAGCCCCCCTGCGGGGTCATCACATCCTCATGGCATCAGCATCTTTGGGATTCAACTCCTGTAAGCACAGCACAAAGGGTTCTGGGGGCTTCCAGAGCCTTTCAGGATTTTTAATTAAAGTCTTCATTTTGGGATCTTTGCAGATTTCATGCAGTCGTAAGAAATAAAGCCCAGAGGTCCCGTGCACCCTGTCCCCAGTTTCTGCACAACAACATCATGGGAACCCTAGTGTGGACCGGGACCAGGACCGGGACCAGGGCCTTGATGCTCTCAAGACACGGACCCTGTCAGAGCCCCTCGGGTCACCTGCTGCAGCCAGGAACCACGTCCCTCCGACCCCCACCTCCTCCAACCCCTGGCAGGCAGGAGCCTGCTCTCTGAGTGGTCATTTTGTCATTTCAGGTCGTTTACTTGGCACCACATGTATGGGACCCTTGAGACCAGCGCGGTTCACCCAGCCGGAGAGTCACCTGGCGCGCCGCTCTCCGCAGCTGGGTCCTTTGCGTTGCCAGGTGGTGTCCGGCCACGTTTCCCTGTGGCAGGTTGTCTGGGCCAACGCCCACCTGGGGGTGACACAGATGAAGCTGCCGTGAAGGCGGCACACAGGTGTGGTGGGATTTCCTCTGGAAAACTGCACCAGGTGCAGCTGCTGGGTTGTGAGTGGTCACAGCATGTTCAGTTTTTACGGAAACCACTAGAGTGTTTTAAAGAGGGGCTGCACCACACTGTGCCCCTGCACCCCAGAACGCTTCCCTGGGTGCCTGCTTGCGGTGACGACAGGGGGCCCCAGAGTGGGTCTCAGACCGCTGAGCAAAGCCAGCTGGCCACGATGTCACAGCGGGAGTGGCGGTATCACGGCCACCTCAGAGCTTCCAGCAGACCGCAGTGTGCCCGCCAAGACGGGCCTGCCCACCCCACCCTTCCTCACGGGGCCTCGGGCGGCACTGGCACCCCTGGGCCTGCTGGCTGGACAGAGCCCAGGCCGTTCCAGAGCTCAGGGCACTGCTCAAAGGAAGGTTTTCTGGAGGATGCTATTTGGCTTTCTGGCACCAGGCAGATGCACGAGCTTGGATCACGGGCAGAATTCTGTGGATTATTCGTGGAAATTCCTTGGGGTGGCACCTCCACAGGGAAACAAAGCCCCCCCCCAAAGTCCCACCTCACTTCTTTTTCCTAATATTCCCTAAACGCCCTGGTCTTCTCTTCTGGTTACACTGGGAGCAGGAGCTTCGGCCCTCAGGGGCAGCCAAGCGGCAGCGGCTTTGCTGCTCATGCACCCGGAGCTGGGTTTCAGTACTGATGCTCAGAGCTGTGTGGACACAGGGCGCCAGAGAAGTGCGGACCGAGTGTGTCAGGACAGGCTCTGATCCAGGCAGCGACACTCCAGATGGATGGCCACCCCACCCCAGGTGGACGGACTCCTCTGCTCTCGGGCAGAAAGAGGGGAAGAGGCGGTGGGGGACTTGCAGGGAAGGGAGCCACCAGCCTGCCCCATCTCTGATTTGCAGCCCAAAAGTCCTCTTTGGGGAGCTAGGTGTGCAGGAAGGACCTGCCTGTCTCCAGGTGCACCCAGGCCCCACAGACCAACCAGCTCCCAGGAGAAGCCCCTCAGTGCGCGGAGCCCTGGAGGACCCCAGCTCTGGCTCCAGGGCCCCAGCCCCTCTACTCTGGGGTCCCGCCCGGAGCTCTGGGAAGGGCACACTGCACAGCAAGGAGAGGCAGCAGATGGCGCCCGCCTGTGGGACCACCCGGTGCCCCACCCTCCTCCCGCTTCCCTACGGTCAGAGGGTCACCCGCTTCGCTCCCCTCCGCCTCTTTAACGGTGGCTGGGGCCTCCCCCGCGCCGGGATTGGATGGAAGAGAACAGGGTGGGCACGGGCGGGGACCCCAGAAGCCCAGGTTCCAGCTCTGGAGGAAAGCGTCCCGCAGTGCAGACCTGGCGACCGGCGGACAGCGCGGTGGAGGCGGCAGCGCCGTGCGCGCCACGATGTTTGACAGCTCGCAGTACCCCTACAATTGCTTCAATTACGACGCCGACGACTACCCTGCGGGCAGCTCGGACGAGGAAAAGCGGCTCACGCGGCCGGCGTACAGGTGACCGCGGGGTCAGGGCACCCATCGCAGGGCACTCCGAGCGGGAGCCTGTCTGGGACGAAAGCAGGAAGGGCTTTCTTCTCTCGGGCGGAGCTCAGAGAAGGGATACCTCGGTCCACACGTTTAGAGGTCGGGGGCAGGGGCGGGGGCTGGGGGCGGGGAGCTGAACTGTGAGCCAGAGGTTCTGGGGTCAGGAGGAGGCGAAGAGCAGGGAGCTCCAGAGGCCACTCCCGGAGCAACTTCTCGGCTCTGCCTCCCCCTCCAACGCGCTAGGCGCTAGGCGCAGGGGTGGTCTGGGAAGGGCTGGCGGGAGGACGCTTGGGACTCGCTCTGGGCGCTCCGCCCCGCCCCCGGCCTGACGCACCCGGGTTTGCAGCTACATCGCTCTGATCGCCATGGCCATTCAGCAGAGCCCCGCGGGCAGGGTGACCCTGTCGGGCATCTACGACTTCATCATGCGCAAGTTCCCCTACTACCGCGCCAATCAGCGGGCCTGGCAGAACTCCATCCGCCACAACCTGTCCCTGAACAGCTGCTTCATCAAAGTGAGCCCCGAGTCCCCCCTCCTGCATCCCCGAGCGTCCCTGGCTTGGGGACACCTGGGTCAAGTCGCCTCCGAGGGAAAGGTCGTTCTCAGAAAACTGGGCTCCCCCCTCCTGCTCCTCAAGCAAGGCCAACCCCCGCCCCCCAGAGAAGGGAACTACCCTGTGCCTTATGTGAGCCCAGATGAGGGGAGGGGCGTTCGAGGAGTGGGCGCAGCCCAGAGCTGAGCCCCCCTCGCTGGTCCCTTGCACAGGTGCCGAGGACGGAAGGCCACGGGAAGGGGAAGGGCAACTACTGGACGTTCGCTGGTGGCTGCGAGTCACTGCTGGACCTCTTTGAAGATGGCAACTACCGGCGGCGCCGACGCCGGCGTGGAGTCAAGAGTGAGGGGGCAAAAGGGGGCTGTGCCCAGGGTCCCCCTGGTCTGCAGGAGCGGGCCATTGCCGCGGGGTCCTTGGCCCTCCGCCAGGAGCCACCGACCCCTGCCAGCCCCGCCGGCCTGGGCAAGGAGCCTCACAAGGACATCAAGTTCAGCATCGACTACATCCTCTCCTCCCCTGACCCCTTTCCTGGGCCCCGGTTGCCACCCAGTGGGCAGGAGGCCCAGCAGGTGAACCACCACTTTTGGGCAATGTGAGGGGGTGCTGAGGATGTTTGCTCCTTGAGGGGCTGGCACCCAAGCAGTCGGGGTCTCTTGGGTGATTTCAGTCTCCCATCAATCCAAGAAGCTAGGTTTTGCAGCGTCGGAGAAACCTGCAGCTCACGCTGAGTCTGGATCCAGCCTGGGCTGGAGGGGAAGCTGGTCTGTGGCCGGCGGCCGCTCACCCTTTCAGAACAAGTCGCCCACGCAGGACACCCCACCGGCTGCCTGTCTCACTTGGGGTTTGCTCTAGAGTTTCAGGGAAGTCCTGCTTGGAGACCAAGAGCACAGGCTCAGGGTCATCACCACCGGTGGCCACGCCCGGGAGCTGCCTGTGTGTGCTGGGACAGTTAGGGACACTGGCGGGCCTCTTCCTCACAGCTGAAAGTGACAATGAAGTGCCAACGCGGAAGTCAGATGCCAATCCACCCGTGGCTGTTGCCCCCTCCCCCGCCATTCTGACCGTGCTGCTGTTAGGGTCATGTCCGTGGAAATGACAAATACATCTTGTGTTGTTCAGGAAGCCCATTCCCTCTTTTTTCTACAGGGAAGAGGGAAGGAAGGAGGAAGGGTGGGAGGGAGGAAGAAACAGGGGCCCAAATTTGGGACGACATGGGGCAAAACTCACCTCAGTTCTTCTAAGAGGAGGGAGCCCCTGTCCAGGCAGGTTCCACACACCTGGTCGCACCCACAGCAGGCGGGGACCAACCCCACTCCCTGGGGAGGCATGCATGATTCTGCACATCAGAGGTGGCACCTCCATTTGTAAATGTAAATTATTTCATCACCATATAGAGATGGGCATTTTTAAAAAGCACAGGTGTGCACAGTGAAACTATTTGAACAACTTATTATTTTTCACAAGCCCGTTTTTGCAGAGTCGACTGCCCTTTGTGGCTTCACTGGAGCATCGATGTGAATGCCCCCCAATCTGACTAGGTGACTGGGGCTGCCTAGCTTTGTAAATGGCAAAAACACACCCAAAGAGGCTGCTCTTCCCGCGGGGAATGCATAGTTGCATTGTCGAGCACTGAAAAACGGGCTGGGCGTGTAGCGAGGCAGGCGGATCACACACAGGACCACGCTGAGCTGGACGCAAGACCTTTCCCTGACTTGTGAGATGCTCCCTCGCCCTGTAAATAGAGACTCGCACGCTCCTTTCCTTGTTGGAGAGGAGGAGGCTGATCCTTAGAAATGCCATGTCTGCCTGGCCCTCACTGGGGGTCTGCCCTGGCGATGGGCCCATGCCCCTTCCACCTGCACCTGGCCTGGCCCAGCCCGCCATCTGCAGCCTCTGCCTCACAGGGTCCTCCTGAGAGCAGGACGCAGGCCTGTCACAGGGGTGCCTCTCCCTTGTGAGAGACAGCTGCCAGACTGCTGGGAGCTCGTTGCCCACCATGCGTGGTCCTGGGCCCCCGCCAGGAGCCGGCACTCAGTCTGCATGCTGCAGACGAGGGCAGGCAGCAACGAGGGCCCGGCCAGATGTGGGCGTGTGTGCGCTTTGACTGTGTGCTGTGTGTCTGTCTGCATTCCTCTTACTTCGTCCCTTTGCTGGTTGGGCTAATGGCATTGTTTTAAGCGATGCCAGGCACAGTTTGGAGGGTGAGCTATTCACAAGTAAGTGGCGTCTGGAGCACCCGGAGGCCTATTTTTCTGCTCTCAACTGAGCAGAAATAATGTGCATTTTATCTTTCCGGTTCTTGCTCTATGCCTGCATTTTGTTGGGGAGAGAAGCCTGATCAAGAACAGAAAACCCTTTGCCCTGAAGAGACGATCTCTGGGGACCCCAGCCTGGGAGGGAGATGGAGTGTCGCTGGTCCACCTGCCCCACCCCGTTCCTGGGCGCAGCCCACTGGGCTGCCTGTGAGCTGGGGGGTGGCCCCAGCGGCGAGACCGGTGCACTACAAGGTGTAACATTTGTTTTGCAGAGGATATCAATCATGTTTTAAGAGCGAAGGGACATTTTCAATTTGCCAGCGTGCGATATCCCGAGACTTCAGAAGGGCTCCCAGCCCTTCCTGTGAGTGGCATTTAATACCAAACAACACAGCGGGGTGAGGGCTGGCGCTGACCTATTCAAATGTCGCCGAGACCACGCCGACTTGCCCGCACAATTATAATTAAATACTTTATGCCTCTCTTGCAAATCCACTGATTGATCACCGATGTGTGCATTGCCGCCACATCACCCCGAGCAGATGGCTGCCACGCACGGTTATGGATCACCAGGTTCCATTAACAAAGTCGGGAGGCGCTGCTGAGCCGAGTTAGCGGAGATGCCAGCGAACGGCTGGCGTGCAGAGCGAAGTTCCCGGGCTTGGCACACCTGGGCCTGGGACTCCTCTCCCGAGCCACCTGGGGACTGCAGGGTGTCCCTGCTCGCACAGGTTGGCTCCAGCAAGGAATCTTCTTGGGAGCTGGAGGCAGCTGGAGCCAGGACAGCCCTGACCCCTGCTGGGGAGAGGAGGGAGCCCACCTGTGCAAGGCCAGGGCTGGGGTGGGAAGTGTGGGCAGGCTTGTGAGTGCAGACCAGCCTCAGGTGGGTCTCCCCCCCGCCGGGAGGCCTCTCTCCGTGGGCAGCACCAGGTCAGACACTTCCCCCACATCGAGCTACTGCCTTTGACCCCCGGTCTCCCCCAGGACAGCAGAAAGGCCGCCTTTCTCTCCAAACTCCTTCCTCCCTTGCTGAGCACATTTGGGGCTGTTCTTCACTCACTCACTGAACACGTATGAGCCGTGCTGGGCGCTGTGGGCAGTGCGCGGTGCTAGGGGGCAGCTATGAACCCGAGGCATCGACTATGTTCCCGACGCAGGCAACGAAGCCACCACCGGGCACACGCAGCCCTGAAAGCCCTCGGGGTGAGCACACAACAACCAGCTCTGACTGTGCTTGGGCAGGACCCCCTAGGACGGGCAGGACCCCCTAGGACGGGCAGGGGCAGCAGGCAGAGCCCCCGTGTAGGGCAGGAGCCGGGGCAGGGGCTCACAGAAGAGACAAGGGCCAGTGTGGTGGGCTGGAGGTGCCAGAAAGGAGAAGTGCACCAGAGGACCCCAGGCTGCCCTCCCGGCCCCCCAGTCCTGGCCAAAGCCCCCCTTTTCTTTCACCGTCGAAACACCTGTGTGTCACTTTGCCCCAGAACGCCTGCTGGACAATCACCTCCCATATTCTGAGCACATTATCTTGGTTAATGTGGCCTCCAAACCAGCCGACTTACCGAGCACACACACACCACAACCTCTGCTCTTGTCCCCAAGCCTTCTTAGCAGACCTGTCCCATCCTGGGCCTGGTGCACGGAGTTCAGGGACCCAAGGCCCAGGTGCAGGTGCTGAGGGTGGTGTGGAGCGGCCACCCTTGTCTCCCCGGAGCCAGAGTCCTCGCCAGGGCCCTCCATGCGGTCTTGCAACTTGGGTGCTTCTCCACAGCGTCTCCCCAACCTCCTCCTGTGGTTCTAGCAGCCCTGTGAGTGGGGGGTGGGCAGGCACTGCTCCCCCTCACAGAAGAAAATTGAGGCTCCCAGAGCCTGTTGGAGCAGAGTGGGGTCCTCGGCTGGTCCCCAGTACCCAGTGCCTGGCTGGGGGTGGGGCAATCCGACCCCTGGGCCCCTCTGCCCACTGGCTGTGGCCACCGTTCGACCCCTGAGCATTGGGAACCTTGAATCCCAGAATGAAATGAGGGTGTGGACCTCGTGTGGCCAGGTGCCTCCGCCCACCACGGGATCAGCTTAGAGAGCAGCCCTCACCTAATTATTTAAAGGGGAACCACAAAGGGGAGATGCCGACAGTCTGTTATCTGCCATTTGACTTCGTCTTCCGCCACATGAACAATCCATACATTTGTTTTTGGATTCGCATGAACAATGTGAAATTGCGTGTGTTCATCCAGTCACAAAGGCCAGCTACGTGGCACGTGCATGGGCCTCGTCACCACTTTGCTGGAGAAACCGGTTCCTGGGAACCGGAGGGGCCAGGAACTGGAGGGGCAGCTGGCCAGGCCACTGTTGCCTGCACTGACCCCCCCATGTGCTTCTGCGCCATCAGACTCCACCGGCCCCAGGCGACTTCAGGCCCTGGGTCCAAGCCAGAGGTGTGTGCACCCAGCTGCAGCCTGCGCTGCGGGCTTGGAATCACCGGCAGCCACACAGCTGCACTGTTTTATGAAGACAAGGAACCCAGGAGGCAGCACTGGGACTTTGCTCCCCTTCTTGACGGGTGTGTGGGATGCGGTGCCTCCAGGGGACCACATGGGAGGGCGAATCTCCCGCAGCTCGTCTGGGAGGGGACAGGGCCTGCCCCTGCTCTCTCGAGCCACCCCTGGTTATTGCATTTACAGCGGCCGTTTTTACATCCACCAGCTCAGCACGCCCACCTGTAGGACCTGTGGGGCCGGCTGGCACCCTTCATACCCAGAATCCACCACAACGGCCAGTGCTCAGCACCTGAGCCCTGAAATCCAGTCAGCTCCCGGGCTCCAGATTGACAGTGGAGAAACTGTGTTCCAGTGCATGGGACACCTTTCTTCCTGGGTTTGGGGCAAGAAGAAGACAATTTGGACCTGCTCTGTCTCCACGTGCTCACGGGGGTCCCCTGGGTCCTGATCACAAGCGGTGTTGGTCTGCATTCCTGCAGACCCTTGTTTAATGTCTCCATCCCTTAAAATGGATGTGAGGTGCACCCAGACCTCGAGTCCTGGGCCCATCTCAGCGCCCAAGAGCCTCACTAAACGGGGCCGGGCCCCGAGGGCCACTCCTCTGTGCTCTCCTAATGGGGGCAGGTGCTTTGGGCCACCGAGCCCGGGAAGAGCAAACAAGAAGCTCTGTTCCCCAGCAAGGAACCTGGGGGGCAATACCTGGGGCTCCCCCGACTCGGGGGCTGGTGTGTTTGGGGTAGGGAACAGTTGTGGCCTCCCCAAAGACACGGGTCCAGCCCAGGTGCACCCTCTCAGTGGGGCCTTTTGGAAAGTGTCTGCCTGCCGGGAAGGTGCAGCCTGGTGCCCTCT